TTCTGTGGTTTTCCCCCCCCCTGGTTTCCCGAAGTGGGGGTTTTTTAAAAAACTTTTACGGCCCCCCTTTTAAGGTGGCCTTTTTTTAAATTTCAAGGGTTTTTTTGGGGTTTTTTGGGAAAGGGGGGGGAGCCTTTTTTGAAAGCTTTCCCCGTGTTTGGGCCTTTCCCGGGAAATTTTCCGGGGGGTGGCCCCTGGATTGGTTTATTTTGACTTTGGGGGCCCCTGCTTGGGGGCTTTTAGGGTTCCCGGTTTTTTTGGGAAAGGTTTAAGGACGGGAGGGGGGGGGTTTGGAGGTATTTGGGGTTCCCCCATTAAACCGTAATCCCGGTTTTGCAATCTGTCCTTGGGTTTCCCCGCCCTTGGGGGGGTTAACCCGGGGAAACCAAATTTAAATTTGGGGGGAGGGGGCCCCAAAACCCCACTCCAACCGGTTGGGGGTTAAGGGGGGGTATGAGGGGAGGGGCCCTCGTAATAAGTTTCTTATGTTCAAATTTCAGCCCGGGGGGAATTGGTGACCGGGGAAAAGGGGTTCCTTTTGGGGGTGCCGGGGTCGAGGTGGGCCCCAAAACGGGGGACCCAAAGGAGGGGGTGTTGGGGCCGTAGGGGGGCCCCAGGATCGTGGCTACTAAAAAATTTTGGAATTTGGGCCTTTTCCTAAAAAAGGTTAACCGGGGGATTTTTTTTTTTTTCTTTTTAAAAGGGGGGGGGTTTTAGTTTTTTAGGAGGAAGGGGGGGGGTGGGGGCCTGGGGGGAAAAGGACCCTTAAAGGGGAAAGGGGGGTTCGGGGGGGGAGGAGAGTGTTTTTCCAAAGGGCCAGATCCCCTCTTTAATTTAAAAATTGTGTAGGTTTTCATTTCCAAACCAATGCAGCCCCCGGGACGCCCCATTAAAATGCCCTGGAATGCCACAATTCATCCCATAAACCAAAAGTTGACATATGAAACATAACTTTTAAAAATGATTCTGGGGGAAAGTCTCCTTTGGGGGTCTCACCCTTTAAAAGCCCTGCCGGGCCTGCACCCCTTAAAGATTCTGCTCTTATCCCCCTCTCTCTCCCTTTTTGTTTAGGATCATCTCCAACCACCTTCCCTTTTAATACTGTAAAACATACTCAATGGCTCAAACTCTATACTGAAAAAAATGGATCCGTCCAGGGCCCCCTCCTATACTCTGTCCTGTGAAGGGGTTTTCAGACGGTTTTATGCTACTTTTTTTTAGGGGTGGGAGGGAGCCCCGGAAACTCTTTATTCCGTGTTCCCGGGATAAATTTAAACCCCGGGCTATTTTAAAAAGGACCCTGGGTATATAAATTTAAACCCCGGGCTAATAATTTGGGCCCTGGGCTATAAAAATTAACCCGGGGGTAAAATGGGGCCCCCCGGGCTTTTAATGGCCCCTTTCCCTTTTAAAGGACCCTGGGGTATATAAAGGAAAACCCGGGGTAATAAAGGACCCTGGCCTATAAAAATTAACCCCGGCTATATAATATGGACCCTGGGGTATATAAAGGGGCCCTGGTCTATATAAAATTAACCCGGGCTATATAATGGAGCCCTGGCCTCCCGGGCCCATATATGGCCCCCCGGGGTATATAAAGGGAACCCGGGGTATATAATGGGCCCTGGGGCCTATATAATTAACCCTGGGCTATATAATATGGACCCTGGGCTATATAATGGACCCTGGTCTATATAATTAACCCTGGGCTATATAATGGATCCTGGCCTCCTGGCCTATATAATGGACCCTGGGCTATATAAAGGAACCTGGGCTATATAATGGACCCTGGCCTATATAATTAACCCTGGGCTATATAATATGGACCCTGGGCTATATAATGGATCCTGGTCTATATAATTAACCCTGGGCTATATAATTAACCCTGGGCTATATAATGGACCCTGGGCTATATAATTAACCCTGGGCTATATAATTAACCCTGGGCTATATAATGGACCCTGGGCTATATAATTAACCCTGGGCTATATAATGGGCCCTGGGCTATATAATTAACCCTGGGCTATATAATGGACCCTGGGCTATATAATGGACTATTGAAATGGGAGAGGAAATGACATCCCTTGTCTCCAGAGTAAGAGGATACCTCGTTATATATAATGTGTGTGTGTCTCTGCATGTGACCCCCTGTGGTGTGTGTATATGCCTGTGTGTGTGATAATGGGATAGCGGCCCTCTCCCCAGAACAACGAGGGTCAAATTAACCCCCTAGAGTAGGTGACATCATCCTTTCTAAACTGGTCTGTCCACCCCTAAAAAAGACCTGTCATACCCACCGCTGCTTTAGCATTCAAACAAAGAAAGGCTTTTTCTGTGTTCCAGGGGCCCTGTCTCAAAGCATTATACTTATCCACTCACAAACTTAGTTGTTGGAATCCATACAGAATGTTTCCAATCCACATGGCCAGGGACAGGGTCTGTTGGTATTTTTACATGGATTTACTCAAACAATTGCAATCTTACTGTAGTGTTTCACCAGACCAGCAGATACTAGGGACGTCCACCCAGACAACTGTGACTGTGTGTTTGACAGGTGGATTTCCCTGAGTAAGCATCAGGTGTGGGAGTGGATGAGAACAACTTCACTGGATTAAGACCCAGCCTATGTGTATAATCCTCTCCCCTGTTCCTCTATACCAGATGAGAAGTATGAATGGACGAGAGTGCAACTTCACTGAATCTGTACATCAACACAGATTGCAGAGCACTCAGAGCACTCAGTTCCAACTCTCTGTCACTGTCTGTCGCCGCACACATATATATATACACACACGCACGCACACAAACACACACACACACACACACACACACACACACAAACACACCATGCACACTATCTGTAAGTAACTGTAGTCCCACAGAGGGAGAGATGGAAGAGGAGATCCACTCATCCGCTCTAAATGAGCACCAGATCTATAGGAAAGCACTTGATCCTGCACTCATTCCTCTGTCCCTGGACATCACACACAGAGAAAGAAGGGAAAGTGAAGGTGCTGGGGAGGGGGGCACACACACACACAGCACACTCTCACTCTGTAGAATAGACTGGAGATAGGCCTATGATTAGTTATAGACTTTCTGATCATCACCATTAAGAGCTGTTGACTTATATCAGACAGAGCGTTTTCTATACAAGTAAAGAGGAACTGGCCAATAGACATGTGATCAAAAAATAGTTAACTGGGACCTTCATTGGCAACAGAACATGATAGTGCAATTTAGTTTTTTGTTATTGTAGATTGCGATATCTAGTGGTTGGTTGTGTGTACTGCAGCCTTACGGGTTTATATTTTCCCGCTAAAAAATTAACATTTAACAAGAGGCCCTTGACGTGACCTACTTTGGATAGATACAATGTTACAAACAAATGGTGAGAAATATCTACAATGTTACGCCTGGATATCAAAGGTTCTGACCATTTAATACAACGTTGTCAGCAGGATGACTATTTATTTTCCTATCAGTAGCCGTATTTGATTATGAAAGCTGTAAACTTTAGTCATCTTTAATAATTAAAATCATATTGGCCGGCCAGATAATCTTCCTTATGGTACATATTTTATGTACCCCCCATAGTAATCAGACAGTTCTTTTGGATCAGCCTTGACGGGAAAGAAACCCAGAAGAGCCATGCAGCCAGGCGTCTTGCTTCAATGAAAAAGCGGACCCAAACTAAAGGCGGGATAATATACTCCTCCTACTGAGCACTTCATGCGCACTTGTGTTGCTCCAGGACTGCGCTTTTGCAGCGATTTGTAAATCGTATGGAATTATAGACAATGAGACATCCTTGGAAAAACATGGTAGTAAAATCAGCATATTTTAGCCTACACTCAAATTTAGAGTATCATTAGGTAAACTAGCCTATAATAGAACTACTAAGCCTAGGCCTACTATGGGAGAGTGTATTTGTTTTGAGAGCTCTGTTTTTGGCGAAAGGACTTTGTACGTAAGATGATATTTGATCTATTAAATAGAAACAGTTTTGATTATGCGTACAAAAACATGCGTAAAGCATAACAATGCCAAAGTGAACTACGAGGGCTGCGCTGAGTCTTACATCGTCCTCAAGGTATCGTTTTAAAAGAAGATGATTGCTGACAGAGAGACAGGCAGGTGCTATCACGGAACCTCACGACGGTGAAGCAAAAACGACCACAACAAAACCTACGGTGAAAGTTCGTCTAAAGGCACATGATGGTGGCGAGGATGGCGAGCTGCGGAGCCGCTTGTCACCTGGATGAAGGGTAAGCGTCATAAATACATAGCCAAATAATGCCGAGGTTTAGGGTCTTGCACATAGCCTATGATTGCATGAGGTTGCATTCACACTGACAAAGGATGCGCGCGGCAATGTTCTGTTTAATCCCGAAAGAGCTGTTTCTTTGTTGTTGTTGCATGTTACCCTTAGCTGGCAATTTAGTTCTCGATTTATAAAGAAACATTTAAGACCCAAAATAGTTGCAACCATGTAATTTTCTTTAATTGAATACAGATCCGAAAAGTGAAAAGAGGGGCCGCCATGATCGCTTTGTAGTCCACATGATGCTCTGTTGTTGACTGATCAAAACACGAGGATGCCCATCGCCAAGCAATATGGCTATACCGCGATTTACATCTATAGAACGATGTTATTCTGTAGGCCTACCCAATGCAACACTAACGTTTGGTTTCTCAATTAAAGCTTCTCTTTTCATTTGAAAGCAAAACCACTTGCATGTATCTAGCTTTGTTGTTATATGAATAGGAGTATCTATGTACCAAAAGGTAGCTATAGAATAATCTTGAATTACATAGGCTATTGGGACTTTTTCCAGTGAAGCTTGATAGTGAAGGACAATTTTTTTTTTTTACCCATATCACTTCTGTAACCACAGTGTTACTACAATCATGGTAATATTTTGTACCGTAAAATGTAGTTGTAGAAAACGTTCTACATTGTTTCCTTCGTGTAGTAAATAATGAATAGTGTTTGTGTGATGAGTAACCATGAACCCCAGGGCAGTGAAAGGTGAGAGATGTGAATCTGGTGACTTGGAACACTAGGCCTATCGTTCGTGTGGTTGCCTAGTTTTCTATCACGCCAGAGGCTGCCAGAGAAACAAGACACGTTGGGCACTTTGCCACTTTGCCACCATGCCACACCCTTTTTACACTGAAAGAAATCATCTGAATTCTGGTTAGACAAGTCAACGATCAGATCACTGAAGAGGTTTGAGTGTCACCGAAGTGCTGACCTATATAGATATTCAATTATACTGAACAAAAATATAAACGCAACATGAAAAGTGTTGGTCCCATGTTTCATGAGCTGAAATAAAAGATCCCAGAAAAAAGCACAAAAAGCTTATTTCTCTCAATTTTTGTGCACAACATTGTTTACATCCCTGTTAGTGAGTATTTCTCCTTTGCCAAGATAATCAATCCACCTGACAGGTGTGGCATATCAAGAAGCTGATTAAACAGCATGATCATTACACAGGTGCACCTTGTGCTGGGGACAATAAAAGGCCACTCTAAAATGTGCAGTTTTGTCACACAACACAATGCCTGTCAGTGTTTGCTGTAGGTGGGTGTGGTGTTGGAATCAGGCGCAGGACGCAGAAAATAAGTCCAAAAGACTTTAGTGAAGGCACAAACTAATACACGAGACAAAAGCCCTGAGGCGAGAAACTCCGCACGCAGGCGTAAAACAAAAGGGCGCACTAAACAGGTGCGAGTATACTCTCCTTAACAGAGGAGAAAAGCTACAACGAGCAAACGGTATACTGTAGAGCAAATACACGACATCGAAACAATCACACACAACACCTGACAAACACAACGAGAACTTATAGGACACTAATGACACTAAACGACAACAGGTGTACAATTCCAGACAAGACCAAACGAACATAGAAACATACAACGGTGGCAGCTAGTATTCCGGAGACGACGAACGCCGAAGCCTGCCCGAGCAAGGAAGAGAGGCAGCCTCGGCCGAAACCGTGACAGTACCCCCCCCGACTCCGGCCTCGGGGACGACCAGGAGGACGCGGAGCAGGGCGCGTCGGGTGACTACGATGGAATTCCGTCAGGAGAGACGGGTCCAAAATGTCTCTCCTCGGCACCCAGCACCGTTCCTCCGGGCCGTACCCCTCCCACGCCACCAGATATTGGAGACCCCCCATCCGACGTCTCGAATCCAAGATGGACCGCACGGAGTACGCCGGTGCCCCCTCGATGTCCAATGGGGGCGGAGGAGTCTCCCTGATCTCATTTTCTTGGAGTGGGCCAGCTACCACCGGCCTGAGAAGAGACACATGGAACGAGGGGTTAATACTTTTATACTCAACAGGTAGTTGTAATCTGTAACACACCTCGTTCAATCTTCTCACGACTTTAAACGGCCCCACAAACCGCCGACCCAGTTTCCGACAGGGCAGGCGGAGGGGCAGGTTTCTGGTAGAGAGCCAGACTCGATCACCAGGTGCGTACACCGGTCCCTCACTGCGGTGGAGATCGGTGCTCGCCTTTTGACGACGGAGGGCCCGCTGCAGGTGGACGTGTGCAGCGTTCCACGTCTCCTCCGAGCGCCGCACCCACTCATCCACCGCAGGAGCCTCGATCTGGCTCTGCTGCCAAGGTGCCAGAACCGGCTGGTAACCTAACACACATTGGAAAGGGGTTAGGTTAGTGGAGGAATGGCGTAGGGAATTCTGGGCCATTTCTGCCCAGGGAACGTACCGTGCCCACTCCTCCGGCCGGTCCTGGCAGTATGATCTAAGAAACCTACCCACATCCTGGTTCACACGTTCCACCTGCCCATTACTCTCCGGATGGTAACCCGAGGTGAGGCTCACCGAGACCCCCAACCGCTCCATAAAGGCTCTCCAGACTCTGGAGGTAAATTGGGGACCTCGATCAGACACAATATCCTCGGGTACCCCGTAGTGCCGGAAAACATGGGTGAATAGCGCTTCGGCGGTCTGTAGGGCAGTAGGAAGGCCCGGCATAGGGAGCAAACGACAGGCCTTAGAGAACCGGTCCACAACGACCAGTATAGTAGTATTCCCCTGTGAGGGAGGAAGGTCAGTGATGAAATCCACCGAGAGGTGAGACCATGGTCGTTGTGGAACGGGCAGGGGTAGTAACTTACCCCTAGGCAGATGTCTAGGCGCCTTACACTGGGCGCACACCGAGCAGGAGGAGACATAAACCCTCACATCCCTCGCCAACGTGGGCCACCAGTACTTAGCACTAAGGCAGTGCACTGTCCGGCCGATACCAGGATGTCCAGAGGAGGGTGACGTGTGAGCCCAATAGATCAATCGATCCCGAACCTCGAGCGGAACGTACTTCCGACCCTCCGGGCATTGAGGTGGACTAGGGTCGGTGCGCAACGCCCGCTCGAGTTCAGCATCGACCTCCCACACTACCGGTGCCACCAGACAAGACTCCGGCAGTATGGGAGTGGGCTCCACGGACCTCTCCTCCGTGTCATACCGCCGAGACAGTGCGTCTGCCTTACCGTTCTGTGACCCAGGGATGTACGTGATCTTAAATACGAACCGGGTCAAAAACATATTCCACCGCGCCTGGCGAGGGTTCAGTCTCCTAGCTGCCCGGATGTACTCCAGGTTAAGGTGGTCCGTCAAAATGAGGAAAGGGTGTTGAGCCCCCTCAAGCCAGTGCCTCCACACCTTTAGGGCCTGTACCACGGCTAACAGCTCCCTGTCCCCTACGTCATAATTTCGCTCCGCCGGACTGAGCTTCTTGGAATAAAAAGCACAGGGGCGGAGTTTAGGTGGCGTGCCGGACCGTTGCGAAAGCACGGCTCCTATACCGGCCTCTGACGCGTCCACCTCTACCTAAAATGGTAAAGAGGGATCCGGATGCGCCAGCACCGGAGCCGAGGTAAACAGGTCCTTCAGCCTCCCAAACGCCCTGTCCGCCTCGGCTGACCACTGCAAACGCACCGGACCCCCCTTCAAAAGAGACGTTATGGGAGCTGCCACCTGTCCAAAACCCCGGATAAACCTCCTGTAGTAATTCGCAAACCCCCAAAACTGCTGCACCTCCTTCACAGTGGTTGGCGTTTGCCAATTACGCACGGCTGACACCCGGTCTACCTCCATCTTCACCCCTGACGCAGACAACTGATAACCCAAAAAGGAGACCGACTCCTGGAAAAACAGACCTCTGCCTTGACATACAGGTCGTGCTCCAACAGCCTCCGCAACACTCGGCGCACCAGAGCCACATGCTCGACTCGGGTAGACGAGTACACGAGAATGTCATCTATGTACACGACCACCCCCTGCCCCTGCATTTCCCTGAATATCTCATCCACGAATGATTGGAAAACTGAAGGAGCGTTCATCAACCCGTATGGCATGACAAGATACTCGTAATGGCCCGAGGTGGTACTAAAGGCTGTCTTCCATTCATCGCCCCCCCTAATGCGCACCAAGTTGTACGCGCTCCTAAGATCTAATTTAGTGAAGAAACGCGCCCCGTGCAATGACTCCGTCATGGTCGCAATCAGCGGGAGTGGATAACTGTACTTCACCGTGATCTGATTGAGACTACGGTAATCAATGCACGGGCGTAACCCACCATCCTTTTTCTTCACAAAAAAGAAACTCGAGGACGCAGGGGAAGTGGAGGGCCGTATGTATCCTTGTCTCAGAGATTCGTCTATGTAAGTCTCCATAGCTCTCTTCTCCTCCTGAGACAGAGGATACACATGGCTCCGTGGGAGCGCAGCTCCTGCCTGGAGGTCTATCGCACAATCTCCCTGCCTATGGGGAGGCAACTGCGTCGCCCTCGACTTACTGAACACAATAGCCAAATCCCCATACTCAGGGGGAACGTGCAATGCGGGCACCTGGTTTGGACTCTCCACCGAGGTAGCCCCTACGGAAATGCCTAAACATCGACCCACACACTGGTCAGACCACTCCATCAGAGCCCTCTCCTGCCACAAAATAGACGGGTTATGGGTACTCAACCAGTGCATGCCCAGCACCACCGGATACGCAGGCGAGTCGATCAGAAATAGCTGGATCATCTCCTGATGACCCCCCTGCGCACACATCCTAAGTGGCGCCGTGACCTCCCTGATCAAGCCCGATCCCAACGGACGGCTATCTAGGGCATGAACGGGGAAGGGGACGTCAACAGGAAGAAGGGGAATCCCTAAATCTAAACAAAATGTCCTATCAACCAAAATTCCCAGCCGCGCCTGAATCTACCAGCGCCTTATGCTGGGAATGAGGTGCTACCTGTGGAAAACGCACAGGTATACAGAAGTGCGCAACAGAGAGCTCTGGGTGAGTGGGGCGCCTACTCACCTGGAAGGACTCCCCAGTGCAGGGCCTGTCGTCTTCTTCCCTAGGAGGCCATCCCCAGCACCTAGCCGCGGTGTGTCCTCCCCGACCACAGTTGGTGCAGGAGATGGACCCCCTCGTACTCCGACCCTTCCTCTCTCTAGCGCCAGCGCCCCCAAGCTCCATGGGGCTCGGCTCGGAGGCGCTGGAGGGTGAAATGGACGGACCTCCCTCGGGACGTCCGCGGGTAGCCAGCAGGGTGTCCAGCCTGATGGACATGTCGACTAACTGGTCGAAAGAGAGGCTGGTGTCCCGACAGGCCAGCTCCCGACGGACGTCCTCACGTAGACTACAGCGGTAGTGATCGATGAGGGCCCGCTCATTCCACCCTGCATCCGCCGCTAGAGTACGGAATTCCAACGCGAACTCCTGGGCACTCCTCTTCCCCTGCCGGAGGCAGAACAGACGCTCCCCCGCCGCTTTCCCCTCCGGTGGATGGTCAAACACCGCCCTGAAGCGGCGGGAGAACTCAGCGTATGTGATAGTGGTAGCGTCTATCCTCCTCCACTCGGCGTTGGCCCATTCTAACGCCTTGCCGGAAAGGCAGGAGATAAGGGCGGACACGCTCTCGTGTCCCGAGGGCGCCGGGTGCACGGTGGCCAGGTAAAGCTCCACCTGGAGAAGGAAGCCCTGACACCCGGCAGCGGTCCCATCGTAGGCCCTCGGGAGCGAGAGTCGAATTCCTCTGGGTTCCGGAGCGGGAATGGGCTGACTTGCTGATGGTGATGGCAGGGAAGGTGGCGTTGGGGGTGTCCCTCGGGTCTCCCAGCGTTGGAGTGTGTTGATCACATCCTGCAGGGCGGTCCCGATCCGCAGGATCTGGTCATTCTGCTCCCGGACCCGATCCTCCAACGTCTCCTGTGCTGCTGCGGCTCCTGCTGATTCCATTCAGAAGGTGTGTGATTCTGTCAGTGTTTGCTGTAGGTGGGTGTGGTGTTGGAATCAGGCGCAGGACGCAGAAAATAAGTCCAAAATACTTTAGTGAAGGCACAAACTAATACACGAGACAAAAGCCCTGAGGCGAGAAACTCCGCACGCAGGCGTAAAACAAAAGGGCGCACTAAACAGGTGCGAGTATACTCTCCTTAACAGAGGAGAAAAGCTACAACGAGCAAACGGTATACTGTAGAGCAAATACACGACATCGAAACAATCACACACAACACCTGACAAACACAACGAGAACTTATAGGACACTAATGACACTAAACGACAACAGGTGTACAATTCCAGACAAGACCAAACGAACATAGAAACATACAACGGTGGCAGCTAGTATTCCGGAGACGACGAACGCCGAAGCCTGCCCGAGCAAGGAAGAGAGGCAGCCTCGGCCGAAACCGTGACAATGCCTCAAGTTTTGAGGGAGCGTGCAATTGGCATGCTGACTGCAGGAATGTCCACCAGAGCTGTTGTCAGAGAATTGAATGTTAATTCCTCCACCATTATTCCAACGTCGTTTTAGAGAATTTGGCAGTACGTCCAACCGGCCTCACAACCGCAGACCACGTGTAACCACGCCAGCTCAGGACCTCCACATCTGGCTTCTTCACCTGTGGAATTGTCTGAGACCAGCTGTTGTAACTGAGGAGTATTTCTGTTTGTAATAAAACCCATTTGTGGGGAAAAACTAATTCTGATTGGCTGGGCCTGGCTCCCCAGTGGGTGGGCCCCTGGTTGGACGTACAGTCATGTAAAATCTATAAATTACGGCCCAATTTATTTATTTAAATTGACTAATTTCCTTATATGAACTGTAACTCAGTAAAATCGTTGAAATTATTGCATGTTGCGATTATGTTTTTGTTCAGTATACTTACAAATGCAATGCACAATACCTGCAGAATAATGACCCCTCATAAAAGCATAACTTTTTGTCCCCAGACTGATAAAAACAGTTTACTGTATCATTAATGCTGTTGTGACTGATGGTGTGTGATATGTTAACCTACTGAGGTACACAAGGCTAAATTGGAGCTGTGACATAAACTACAACACTAGCACTAACTGACTATTGCCTATCTCTTGTTCACAGGCTTTCAGTGTGTTTATGTAAGGCTGTAGGAAACATGCAAAAACTGTGGCCTTATCGGACCACAGAGATACAGAGAGAGAAGTGAGAGAGACAAGAAAGGAAGGGGAGGGTTGTCTTGTATGAAAATGAGTGGGAGAGAAGTAAGAGATGGTGAGAGGCCAGGGTTGAAGAGAGGGCAAAGAGAAATAAAGAGAAAGAGAGGGTAGGAAAATAATAGACAGAGAGATGGATAGAGGCAGAAAGAGGGCAGAGTATATGTGTGAATATGACTGCCATGGAAACCTATAACAGTTGTGTTGTGATACAGAAACCTGTTGGCTGTGTGAACATTGACCTTGAAAAGTAAACAGTCTTTCCTGTACATCTGTCTGAGGACAATGAGGATGAGGTCCACTGGCTTATCAGGTTCCATTCAATCTTAAAGAGAGACAATATTCTAATGATGTCACTACACAGTACGAGAAATAGCCTATGAATTTTGGTCACAATTGTTTTAGGACCTTATCTGCAGTTACCATGCACATTTATCATGATTAATTACATTCTTATTATCAAAGAGGTTATAAAAACATGGCAACTTAGTAAAGTGTTTCTACCGTATTCCTCATCTCCTCTGTGGTAAGGCACTAAAGACTACACTTGAGTCAAATCTGTTTTTTGATCACCTAAAGCGCAGTATTTTTCCCTGCGCATGCTGAACTTGTTCTTCTTGTTTGTTTGGCGCCATGACGAATGCACTTTCTATTATTGCTAGCTCTAGACTGAGTCCCTAGGTGGCAGGCGCCTGTAGACATGTTCACACAAGGCACAGACTGAATCAACAAGCGGCACGCTTTGTCTGAGTCTGAGAGACAACTTTTGGTGTTCTCTGATACTGTCTCTTTAAGAACTTACGGTTTAGAATCACAAGCACTATTATCGGACAGTACCTTTCCATGGCTTTGCAGTACCAGCCGTCCAACATTAGTGTGTAAAACTGGGTCAGGATGTAGGGGGTGGGGGTTCCACACCACACTGGAGGATGGGCTGGTGTCATGAACGTGAGATTTTGGCAGCACTTCCTGTTTTTGTGCCGCAGTTGAATGAGCGTATGTGTGTATATCAGAGAGAGGAAGTGCAGACACAGATGGGTCTGCAGCTGTACAGTTCAGCTCAACCCGCTCACCTCCACACCCCTAGTCTCCTCCCCCACTTGTCCATTAACTGAAGTTGTATTCTCTTAACTACAGGATTTTAATAACATCTTGGTATGCCCTTATAATTTCCTTTCTCTTTCAACCTACAGAGATGGAGACATCCCTGCCCCTGACCAGAAGGGTAAGCACCGTTCGCTCTTTGTTTGTGCATGACATGTTTTGTTTTGTCTCATGTGGCAAAAAGTCCTGAATGAATGTTATCTGATATTATACCAGCAGATGGCAGTAAACACCAGAAAAATATCTGTGTGTCTGTGTGTCTGTGTGTCTGTGGTGTATATTGGGCTGATAAAGCAGGCTGTCTGAGAGTAGACGGAGTGGATGTTAGATGAGTCAGAGAGAGATAGGAGGGATATGAGGACACAGATGGCGAGATAGGGGGAGAATGAGCTAGAGAGAGGGATGGATGTAGAGCAGAGAGAGAGAGAGAGAGACCTGGCTGGTTCTCAGTCTGAGATGAGGCTCCCTGCCCCAGAAAGGACAGGCTCCATCTATTAGCTTCCTTTCTGCCAATGCCAGGCTCTCAGCCAGAAGGCCTGTGCCACACTCACTCCTGCTGGGTACAAATAGCAAACAGCTCCCCCTGCCCCTGGAGTCAAAACCATTTGCTTTTGAGAAAGGGTTTCACCAAAGCTGTGTTGTATTCATTAGGTATCTCATAGCTTATTTTCAAAGATGCATTATGATGCATTAGAAAATCAAAAATCAAATTTAAAAAATGACAATTATGACCATTTGCATGGCAATTAATCATTACCCATAATCTTCACATTCCTACTTTAGATGCACTTACAGTATGAAGCATATCGTTTTACAAGTCATTCTGAATTTCTGAATGAATCTGCTTCTGTAAATGACTAAAATGTAAGTGCAAACAGTTACAGCTCTCACACGGGGGCCCTCAGCACGATACATAGGAAAACCACAGACATATCACAATTACAATACGCTTATACACTACCAGCCAAAAGTTTGGATGCAGCTACTCATTCAAGGGTTCTTTATTTTTACCATTTTCTACATTGTAGAATAATAGTGAAGACATCAAAATGATGAAATAACACATATGGAGTTATGTAGTAACCAAAAAAGTGTTAGATAAATCAAAATATATGTTATATTTGAGATTCTTCAAATAGCCACCCTATGCCTTGATAGTAAAAAGAAAGGAAAACCCTTGAATCAGTAGGTGTCCAAACTTTTGACTGGTAGTGTATACATACTGTATACAGTAGTCCCCTGTAGCTCAGTTGGTAGAGCATGGCGCTTGCAACGCCAGGGTTGTGGGTTCGTTTCCCACGGGGGGCCAGTATGAAAAATGTATGCACTCACTAACTGTAAGTCGCTCTGGATAAGAGCGTCTGCTAAATGACTAAAATGTAAAATCTAAATTAGTGAGTAATCAGAGTGGAAGTTTCAGATGAGTGATGTGAGTGAAGAGGGTATGCACTGATGAGCTCATCAGAGTTAACTTAGTCACAGTTTGATAACAGAAGTGTAAAATTTAGATAATGCTGAGTCAGACAGTAAATAAGAGGCTCCAAATCGATAATGTATGATGTTTTTTTTCTGCCATTTCTCAGTAATAGGCCTATGTTAGGGTAGACGTGAGTAGAGACTCTCAGGTCCCCTTTCTAGGTCTTGTCAGAAAGCTTGCAGAGTATGGGCTGGTGTTGTTTGGGGCTGTTCCCACAGAGGGTTACTGTAAACCTCTCTGCATTATGGGTAAAGTGGGGTGGAAAGATGGAGAGAGGAGAGTTCCTAATCCCATATTAACCCCTTACCCAAGACACTTCTAATAAAAGTTATGTTGTTCCAGGTAATCTGACTGAAAGTGATAACAGTGGCTCAGGAAGGCACACCTTTGCAGTATATTTGTATTTTCCTCGTATAGAAATCCTTATAGACATCCTATAGAAAATCGTATAGAAATCCTTGTATAGAAATCCTTATGAAATCCCCCCCACACACACATATCCCCCCGTCCTCTCTGTGAACACTACTCAAACAGAACTCTAATGGTCTCTGAGCTGCTTGCAGGCCTATAGACCTCAAGTCATGTTTGAACAACCAATCAATTTCCCTCATACCTCTCTATTTGAAAGTATACTTAGAATGAGAAAAGTTTTCAAAGTTCATCCCTCCATGTCTAATGGATTGTTCTGACAGAAAATGTAGGGACATCTACAGAGGAGAGTTCTGAAGAAGAGGAGGATGAAGAGGAGGAGGAGGATTCTGGTGAGCGGCTGCTAGAGCTCAAAATCTCTCCATCACAGTATGAATCTTCGGGCTTTATCACATCCTCTAACATAATGTTCTCTCTCTTTGTCTTTCAACAGACGGCTCTGCTGAGAAAGAAGAAGGAGGTGAGAAAAACACAGCCTCATTCTCTCAGCTTCATCAAAATAATTTCCAAATGGCTTGTTTGGATATTTTTAGAAATAATTGTATTCTTTTTTTGGTTCTCCCAACAGAATCAGAGGAGCCTGACGTTGAGGGTTCCAGTAATGGTGAGTGGGAACTAAAACATCAGATACAATGCCTTAGAGTATATCTGCCTCTGAAATACAGATGAATAGGCTCTTTCACCTCAGAATGACCTGAGTAGAATGATTGCTCCTCTCCCCCAACTTCCTTCATGAGGAGTAACTTCTCTCTCCACAGAATCAGAGTCGGCTCATCAACCTCATGCAGAGGTTTCCCTTGCTAAAGGTATCCTCAATTTGACAAAAGTCATTCTACTATCAAATGTTTAGCTTTTTCCACAAAAGGCCTAGCTATCCTAGATTGTAATGGTTGAAAGGCTAGAGAGAGTATATCTGGTTTCATTCATAGGTTTATGAAAATGTGTCTGCAAATCATAATCTGAGAGGGAGTATTCCCCAAGACGGAGTGCCTAGTTTGACGTTTGACCTCTCCTTTGTCAGATGTGCCCCCCAAGCCATGTTGTGAAAAATGCAATGCTGTCCAGCAGGTGAGTACATTTTTGGGATTGTGGAATTGAATGATAGTTGTGTAATAAAGCCTCAGCGACGTACAGTATGGCTGTAGACTCACTAGAGGAACAGGGGCTAATCTTAGTACCATGTCTGTTTCTCTATCAGAGTCAAGGCAATGAACTGGTTATTCCCAGGAAGATCTCTAAAGGGCGCCTACAGTGAGTGTACCTCTTCTACCTGTAGCCTCGTTCCATCTCTTTCTCTTTCTCACTCAGCCTCTCCTTCTCTCTCTTTTTTCCTCCATCTCTAAATCTCTCTGGTTCTGTGTGTCAGGGTGCAGCTGGAGGGAGAGGGGACATATGAGTGCTCCGTCACCGGCCTGGTGTTTGAGGTGTCAGAGAGAGTCCTGATCCGCTACTCAGTCCTGTCCTGGTCCAAGTTCGGCATATTCCTCAGGGACTCCTGGAGGTTCGCTGGGCCCATCTTCAACGTGGACTGTGTCAACAGCCCCTCATCCATCCTCACCTCCATCCAGTTCCCTCACTCCCTCTGCCTCGCTGACCCCGACAGTGAAATGACCTTCAGTGTCCTGCATATGAAGGACAGCTGTCCAGTGATCGAGCCCTCGGTAGACCACTCTGGCAGCCATGTAAAATGGCGTGTGTCGTCCCTGTCCCCGGTGGGGCCCATTGTCCAGAGCAGCAAGCCTGTAGAGCACCACGGGGTGGTCCTGGTGTATAAGGAACTGGCTTTGAACAACTCTTACTCCTTTCGCATCTACCTGGCCACCAACAACTCCTCCGATATTAAGGTGAGATGGACACAGGGTGTATGTGTGTGGATTACTGTAACATGTTACTGAGTCAGAGCAAAGAGGTGAACATGATCAGATAGATTGTAATGTCCACTGGCCTGACTTTCTGGTTCTCTGTGCCTCTCTCACTGTGGTCTCTACTGAGGGAAGTCACGTCACACTGGAAGTATGCGGTCTGTTTATGTGTGTGTGTGGTGATCAAGATTAGTTAATTAGTTAACACTATATCGAGGGCAGTGGTGCGTATTAATTAACACAAATGATTGTGTATTGATTTGTGTATCTGTATCTAGGAACAACTCAGATGGAAACCTCAAACATTAGATCTGAAGCTAGCCCAGTGGGCAACACAGGTTAAAATGACAATGTTTTGCCAACTGGTAGGGTTAGATTGGGATATGATACACCATATGATATCAAATATAGACCACAGTGAATTTTTAGGTCACAGTTCCTGAAATGTGGTTTGAGCCCTGATAGTGTGTAGTAGTATCAGTGGTGAGGGGAGTGACTGAGCTCAGCAGAGACATCAGAGCACTCAGCATCAGAACAGCCCATTTAACCCTACCTAACTGGCCAGGGAAAGGAGTTGTTGACCGTTAGTCAACAGGGAATAGACATCCCCACCCTTGTTACCATTATTGGAATCCCTCGCTTACCTATGGTAAATCACTGGTCCATTTCTATCTGTTCCTTTCATTCTTTCACTGTCTCTCTGCCTCTCTTTCTCCTCCTCTACCCCTCCCTCACTCCAGGACATAGGGAAGGAGGTGCGTTGCTCCAAGAGGCGTTACCTGAAGGTAGAGAAGCCACCCACCTGTAAGCTGGATGAGAGGAGGTACCGCCTCATGAGCGAACCAGAGGGCGACATCAGCCCTGCGGTGAGGGTTCATTCACCCATTAGTGCATAACCAGTAAGCACTGACCTATGTACTGTACACTGAGTATACCAAACATTAAGAACACCTTCCTAATATTGAGTTGCACCTCCTTTTGCCATCAGAACAACCTCAATTCGTCGGGGCATGGACTCTATGTTGACTCCAATGCTTCCCACAGTTGTGTCAAGTTGGCTGGATGTCCTTTGGATGGTGGACCATTCTTGATACACACGGGAAACTGTTGAGTGTGAAAAAACCCAGCAGCGTTACAGTTCTTGACAAAACCGGTGCACCTGGCACCTACTACCATACCCCGTTAAAAGGCACTTCATTCTTTTGTCTTGCCCATTCACCCTCTGAATGTCACACATACACAATGTCTATTGTCTCGAGGCTTAAAAATCCTTCTTTAACCTGTATCCTCCCCTTCATCTACACTGATTTGAAGTGGATTTTGTTAACTCAAAATGACACAACGACTAGGTTCCAGTTGAACAACTTTGAATTCACCGTATTTCCACAGTACATTGTTGCCATCACACTCAGGCCGGGTCCATCTCCAAAGAGACTACTGCGCAGGCGTACAAATAACAGAGTGATAGCACCGTAATAACAGAAATATAGGGATACTTCAAACTTGAACTTAACTATCTCCCACTTTTCTTTAAAGACAAATAAAACATCAACTAAACAATTAAATGTCCCAAGTATTATTTAAAGTTCCCCATTACAAATGGGTTGTGTGACAACGTTTTTATTTTTATTGCTCAAGCTGCCACTTTCCATTACTGAGTGCCTTTAGGAGCACAAGACCGGCTGCTCCCCTTTTAGTCAGACAGTCAGCAAGCTGTACCTTTGTGGCCGACCACAGAATCCGCTGGATTCTCTGTGCTTGAATACGTTCCTTGATGCTGCTAATCTCAAGACAAAGTATTTTCTCTGTGACAGACTTGGTTGACTTGACAGCATCAACTAGGGAGTAGTTGTCAGTGACACAAACTACAAGTATAATGTGCCGTTTTGTCTCACCAGTGGTAAGACTGTCCTCATAAGTTGCCAGAAAGATGTAATTGTCAATTCAATCCGCAAGAGCAAGGGTTTCTCCAGCTAGTGAGCTTCGGACAACCCTTCTGATCCTCTTTGACTGCCAATAGATAGGTGAGAATCTTCCTTTTTCACCCATTAACACAATTAGATGTTTACCTTGTGTGCCTCCATCTGTAAGGTTCCCTAGGGAAGCATCACTGAAGACAACTAGTTTCAGAGTCATCTTTTCCAACATGCTGAAACTTTAGAGTCACTTGTTGTGATTTCAGTTTACGAACAACTTTGTTTGCCTCGTGAATGGTTTGTTCAGTGGTGTGTTTTGTGTTGGATGCCAAGTTGCAGCCATTAAACATTACATCAAGTCTACTCTGTCTAGCAACCCATAGAATTTGACCTATCTTTGACCTCAATTGATCAGCTTCAATTCCACAGAGAGGGGAATTCCTTTGTACGGCTCTTGAAGAATCCATATGGATGGGTTGAAGATTCTTGATATAGTTTTCCTGTTGCATCAGTATTGTTCCGTCAACTGTAATAAACTCTAAGCCAACATAACAAAAACTAGCATGCTCCTCACGGCCGACCTGGAAAACAGCTTTGAGGTGTGGAATCACAGTTGTAGCAAAGGTCTGTGACCCACCCCAGATGAAATCATCAACATGACAGGCAAGTACTCCAGTCACATTTCAGTCTTGATCAAGCCAATAGAAGACTGCAGTATCCACTTGTGACATTTTCCCACCTGTACTCAGAATTGTTGACTTGACTTTGTTGTACCAGTAGAGTGATGCACCTGCCAGGCCATACACACACTTTTTTAGTTTCCACAGTGTTCCTTCGCTCTTAGCTTCAGGTGGAGGTCGGATGTGAATTTCCCTTGACAGCTCTGTTCCCTGCAAAAATGCAGATTTGATGTCTATGGAATAAAGTTTCTATTTTGTCTGGCAGATCACTGTCAGCAATCTGAGTGACTCTGAGGCGCATGTCGGTGAGTCTTTTGGGAGTTCTTTAGCAGCCAGCTCCTCAAAACCTCTAGCCACTAGACGTGCCTTTGGCACTATGCCAGTTAAGGATTCTTTAAGGGTACACAACCACCTTGTTGAGACACATTTTTGGCCAATTCTTTGACTTCCTCAAGCACTCAATTTGTCCTCCAATTACTGAGCTCATCTAGTTTAGCTGAGTCAAATGACACGTCCTTTGTTTGAAGTACATCATCATTTTGAATGTCATTCTGTTTTTCTCAATTTTCCATTGGTTCAATTCTGAGATGATCTACAAGTGACAGGTCAGCTGACCCTGTTGTACCAGAAAGTGTAGCTGGTTCAGAGTACTGCAAGTTGTACCAGTTCTGGTGTTTTCCTTTGGCTTTTCCTGCTCGTCCAATGACTGTTGCTGTGTGTGGAATACCACTTTCTCTGTCCATGTATTTAACAGTTTGTCCAGTTTTGAGATTGGAACAACCATGTTGTCTTAACACATGTGGCTGTTGTTGAACATTTTCCTAATTTGAACCTTCAACAGTATTACCTGTGTCATGCTTGAAGGTCTCTGCCCCCATTTCCTGTCTCAGTTTCAGTGTCCATATCATTGGATGCGACATCTGGTAGGTTTGTGTTAATGTGTCCTTTTTATCATTTTCAGTAGGAGGCTGATTCTCAGCAACAGCCCCTCCATCTTGTTGATCATTTACTTTCCGCAATTTTAAGTGATGCACCCTGACAATGGTGCCTTCGTGCCTCACAAATATCACCACACCATCTTGGTCAATGACTACTCCCGGTCCTTTCCACTCTTGACAGTCAAATCGTTTGTCGTACACTTTGTTTCCAGTCTTGTACTTCTCATCTGTGGGACGAAGCTGTTTACGCAGAGCCCTGAGAATTCTTTCTGAACACTCTGCTTCAGTGAACGCTTTTCTCGCTGCATGTAGTGCTGAAAGGTGCTGTCCTACCCATGCACTCACACTGGTCCCTTCTTGTGCTGGTGGCTTGTCAACCAGTACAGAGGGAAGATTAGGGTTCTGCCTGAACTCTAGTTGGTATGGACTGTAGCCATGAACATTGTGCATTGAGTTGTTTGCCATCAAAGCCCAATCTAGGACTGTTTTCCAGTCACATCCATTATCTTGCTTCACTTTCAGCATAATCTCTGCTCCATGGACTGTATGCAGCAGTTGGCTTTACTTCCATGTTGAATTTCTCAGCCATTTCTCTTATTTCATTATTATTGAATTCTCCTCCATTGTCACTGTACAATTTCTGTGGCGGGCCATACACACTTATCCAGGAATGAATGAAGTGCTTGACGATTTCACTGGGTTTCTTTGTATTCATAATGCTTCCAGCACTGAAGCGTGTGAAGTGGTCAATTATGTGAAGGTACCGCACACTTGGTCCTAGCTCATGTAGATCTACAGCCACTGTTTCATTGTACTTGGAAGCCAGTGGCAAACCAACAGCTGGTCTGGGCTTAGGTTTGCTGTGTTTCTGGCATGTCTCACAACTGTTAACTATCTGCTGTAGAATGGAAATACTCTCATCGTCATTTCTGAAGTCTGTCAACTGTAGCATGTCCAAACTGTTTGTGAAGTTTTAACAAAACTTTGTGTTTTACTCTGTGGTCATGTTCTCTGTGATGTCAGAATCTCCATGTGCTCTGTGTCTGTCAGAATCTCATTTTTACATGGACTCTGTGTGATGTCTTTGTCTAAAATGTTTACACAATAGTAGCCTGAGGTAGTAACTTCAAGGGCCACTGGTTGTTTAAACATCACTGCCTTGTCATTTTTTATGTCTAGTACAGCCCCTGCCTTCTTGAGGGAACCTTTGCTTAATAGTAAGAGGATATCTGCAGGGACCACCTCTGTTTCAATGTGACACTTAGTCTGACCAATTTTTGCTGGTATCTTGACTCTCTTGGTAGAATGGACGACTCTCCCATCTCCAAATCTGAAAGGTCTGTTGCTTGGTGTGTCAATCATATTTTGTACTTCTTTCATATTTAGTTCGCTGACATAGCTATCAAGCCGTTTTGCACCACACACTGTGTGTGTACATGCAGTATCAATCACAGCAGATCCTAAGGATTCAACTATAAAGATCTCAGTATCAGAAGCAGATTCATTTGAAAACAGTGTAATGTTACACTGCTCTATCTCTGTGTTTACATTTTCCTCTGTTACTTTAACTTGTTCAGTACAGTCTTTAACCCAATGGTAAGAGCTTTGACAAATAGCACATTTGGATCTCCTTCCATACCTGTCCAGTGGATTTGTGCCAGGCAATGGCGCCCTCGTCTGGTTGTCTTGAGAACATGACTTGTTGGGGCCTTTTCTCCACTGCTCAGAGTAATATGCCGTGTCACTCACTTTCATTCTATCTGTTATTGGCGCAACAGATGTCTTTTCACCAAAAATCATTTTTATTGCCGACTTCATTGACGCAAAAGTCAGCACAGTACAATCAGTCAAAGCCAAGTGTTTCTCTTTACCATCCAGACAGGCAGTATCTAGCAACTTGAAAGCTAACACTGCATCCGGGAGAACCATGTCGTACTTGCGCATCCTATTGTACCTCTGTTCTAAATCAATGATGTAGTCTGTCATTGCAACCGAAATGTCTCTAGTAACACTGTCAAACTTTGAATACGCCTCGTAGACACAGTCTTTCTCTTCTTTAAGAAAACAGATTCCAATGCTCTGATCAAAGTTCCCATGCCGTCATCCTGGTTCAAATCCTCCGTGGATATTTCCAGTGCTGTATCGCTCACTCTTCCGTCGAGCGAAAATACCACCGCAAGTGCTTACTTTTTCTCGTCCAGATTAGTAACCAATGTCCAGATTCCAAGTTAATTGTTCCAACTTTCATACGACCTCTTCTCGTCAAAGCGAGGTGGCACATTGTAGTTATTAGCCATCCTCTGCTACCAATGTTAACTCAAAATGACACAACGACTAGGTTCCAGTTTAACAACTTTTAATTCACCGTATTTCCACAGCCATCACACTCAGGCCAGGTCCATCTCCAAAGAGACTACTGCGCAGGCGTACAAATAACAGAGTGATAGCACCGTAATAACAGAAATATAGGAATACTTCAAACATGAACTTAACAGATGTAACAGGTAACATCAATAAGGAATCATAGCTTTCACCTGGATTCACCTGGTCAGTCTATGTCATGTAAATAGCAGGTGTTCTTAATGTTTTGTATACTCAGTGTATGTATGTACTATGTGTGTGTATTTATATGTCTGTGCTGTGTGTGTATGGTGTCCTGTAGGACTTGCTGTTCACGCTGGCCGTGACTAAATTGAAGGGATATTTTGAGGCGTTCTTTGAGCAGCCCCCTCCCTTCAAGCTCTCCCTCATAGAGACAGAGTCCGACCAGACTGTGTGGTCAGCCACCATCAGAGAAGGTACGTACAAACCTTCTGAGTGTCTGTCTGTAATGTGTTGTGAGTGAAGGTGCAGGAGATTCATTTGTCTTCCTCTCAGGTGACTGTGTGGACAATGCAGTTGAAAAACCAAGGAAACGGACAGCTAGTAAGTTTGTCATTTTTGTTTGCCACCTCTCAATATTGGCATCAATAGTTAACTTTATTCCAGTGTATGTTCTAGATATCTAGTTGTCTGTACACAAGCAATTTTCATCCATCATTAAAAGTAGCTTTTGATTGACAGGGATTTTCTCCTCTTCTGTAGGCAGGAAAAGAAGCAACAGCACATCAGAGGAAGAGATGACCAATAAGAGACCTCGATCTGTAGATGAGTCAGGTGATGGTTTGAACACATCCAATGTGTCATTTGCTGTTATTACTGTGGTGTTATTCCTGTTCAGTTGCTGTTCAGTTGCCCCTAAAAGTCTAACGTTCCTCTGTTGCTTCCAGACGGAGTGCTGACAGTGCAGGTCCCAGATGTGTCGTCCAAGCAGCTGATGCAGGTGGCTAAGCGGCTGGGGAAGGAGTGGAAGCAGGTGGCTATCGGTTGCCTGGACCTGTCCTCCAAAGAGCTGGACGATATACAGGCCAGTGAGGAGGATGTCATCATGCAGAGGTATAGTTGATAGATATAGTATCTGCACCCTTAAAACTAAACTTTATATTACTTGCCAGACATTATTTTTGGGGTTTCTATTTGAAGCATTCCTGGCATAACCAATCATACAATAATTTTTTAAAACATTTTTAGTCATTTAGCAGATGCTCTTATCCAGAGCGACTTAGTGAGTGCATAATTAAAAAATAATAATTCATATGTTTGGTGAAGATTTATTTTTTAGATAATGTGACCCTAAATGTGACCCCCCTTTGTGTTGTGTTTCAGGTTTAAGGCATTGGAGCGCTGGAAGACTGGCAGGCCAAAGGGTCAAGCCACTGTTGCTCACCTCTTGATGAGCCTACAGGAGCTGGATGACCTGCCCAACGAGGTCTACCAGACACTGCAAGGTTAGAGACACACCAGTGGAGGCTGCTGAGGGGAGAACGGCTCATAATAATGGATGGAAACCATGTGTTTGATGTATTTGATACCATTCCACCTATTCCGCTCCAGCCATTACCATGAGCCCATCCTCCCCAATTAAGGTGCCACCAATCTCCTGTAAGACACATTAGACTAGAGCCACACACACACACTCACACTCACCCGTCCGCACACTCATACACACTCACCTGTCCACACACACATTTGTACTCATGCTTGTCTCCAATTTCTGTCTGTGTTCTCCTCAGATATGATGGACAATAAAGCTGCCAAATGAGATCTCTTTAGCCTCCCGAGGTCCCTGCCTTTCTGCAGCCCTGTCGTTAATAAGACAGAGAGACAATGGGAGAGAGACGTTTGAACTCTTGCCTTGAAGACAGAAATCTCTCTACTTGTGCTGTATGGAGTAGGATGAAAGTTTTCTCTAGACCAGATATGGGCAACTCCAGTCCTCGGAGGCCGGAGTGGTGTCACACTTATCCCCCATCCCTAGCAAACACAGCTGATTCAACTAATCCAATCCGGCCCCTGACGACTGGAGTTGCCCGTCCTTGCTCTAGAGGCTGATCTAAGGTCAGCTTTGCATACCGCCTTCATAAATTGAGGATTTGAGGAGTGTACACTGATCCTAGATCAGAACCATTATGGGTCCCGTGCCATTGCCTAGGCAGGGCAGGCACCCCAGCCTAGCACTGTCACCCCCTCCCAGCCCAAGACAATTGGGCTTCAATTGCCTTCAACTGAAATGTTTGATTCCTGCAGGCCTGGATCTAGAGAACTTTGTGCCCTTCCTAGTAGTGATATTTAGTAGTGGGAAACCCTGTCTTTTCACCCCTCCCGTTCTCTCAGCATTACAACAGGAGTTCAACAAAGACACAGAAAAAGAATTTCACCCAAGCATTTAATCTTGAATGGTCATTTTCTTAGATGTTCACAAATGGTCCATTAACCTGGAATAACACAGGTGTTATCATGCTGTAGAGGTACCCCGAACAGCCAGGAGCTAATGCTACGACCCACGGTGCAAAGAAGACCTCTTATGTCATAGATGAGCTCTGGGAAATAGGTAGCTAAAGTGTAGCCGGTAACAGACATGGTGCTGCAGTATGGAAACAGTTAACAAACTTACGGGGCGTTGTATATTTTGTATTTTGATATTTCTCATTCAAGGCATTACCACTTACTTAATCATGGAATTGGACCAACTACTCAAGGAGTGTAGCTCTACTTTTTATACTGTGTACATATTTTCTCTGTATTTAAACTATGCTGTGATTGTTTTAATTTTTTGTACAGTTTGTGTTTGTTCGTTTTTATGTGTGTTATGATGAAGTTGACAGTGGGGATAGCTAAGCTTCATTTCAGAGAAAAGATTGGTAATATTTACTTTTGTTTAGCCTGAATCGTGTACATTCTGTAGCCTGGAAATCAAGCTCAGTGCATTTTAACAAGGTGGGCTTGACTGAATTCCAGAAACCACTAATTTAGGAGAGTATTTTTAGTTTATAAAAAGGGCTACTAACTTATTTTAAACACCTTTCAATAGGGATGTCACTGTTGCCGATACTGGGATGCAAATACCACAGTGAGATGAACAACGATTAACTGTTGAAATTATGAATGGGAAAACCATGAGTTAAGTGGTATATTGGGTATTGGATGCCATTTGCAAGTGTGTACATATGTTTACACTGAGAGTGATCTCTCAGAAAGTCCATAATTAATATTCCAGTCATTACATGTGCACTTCTGTAATGTTACACCTCAGGTATGGGCCTTCGTAGGGCTCTGGGTATGGTGTCTAAGATTACAAGTCTTTGACGGAATAAAATCTTTTTTTTAAAATATTAATTTCATTTCTTTCATTGCAAATAGTTTTCAGCTAGTAGAGGTAGGCCTACAGCTTGATGGAGGTCTTCATGACTGTTAGTAAACACAAATGTTTCATTAAGTAATAGCCTACAGGTTCAGTGGCCTTTACAGTATTGCGTGACTCATAATGACCTTGCCAAGTCTGGAACCAACAGGACCCTGAACAGCTTCTACCCCCAAGCTACAGTGAGGGAAAAACGTATTTGATCCCCTGCTTTTTTTGTACGTTTGCCCACTGACAAAGAAATGATCAGTCTATAATTTTAATGGTAGGTTTATTTGAACAGTGAGACTGAATAACAACAAAAAAATCCAGAAAAACGCATGTCAAAAATGTTATAAATTGAATTGCATTTTAATGAGGGAAATAAGTATTTCACCCTCTCAATCAGAAAGATTTCAGTCTATAATTTTAATGGTAGGTTTATTTGAACAGTGAGAGACTGAATAACAACAAAAAAATCCAGAAAAACGCATGTCAAAAATGTTATAAATTGAATTGCATTTTAATGAGGGAAATAAGTATTTGACCCTCTCTCAATCCGAAAGATTTCTGGCTCCCAGGTGTCTTTTATACAGGTAACGAGCTGAGATTAGAGCACACTCTTAAAGGGAGTGCTCCTAATCTCATTTTGTTACCTGTATAAAAGACACCTGTCCACAGAAGCAATCAATCAGATTCCAAACTCTCCACCATGGCCAAGACCAAAGAGCTCTCCAAGGATGTCAGGTACAAGATTGTAGACCTACACAAGGCTGGAATGGGCTACAAGACCATCGCCAAGCAGCTTGGTGAGAATGTGACAACAGTTGGTGCGATTATTCGCAAATGGAAGAAACACAAAATAACTGTCAGTCTCCCTCGGCCTGGGGCTCCATGCAAGATCTCACCTCGTGGAGTTGCAATGATCATGAGAACGGTGAGGAATAAGCCCAGAACTACACGGGAGGATATTGTCAATGATCTCAAGGCAGCTGGGACCATAGTCACCAAGAAAACAATTGGTAACACACTACACCGTGAAGGACTGAAATCCTGCAGCGCCCGCAAGGTCCCCCTGCTCAAGAAAGCACATATACAGGCCCGTCTGAAGTTTGCCAATGAACATCTGAATGATTCAGAGGAAAACTGGGTGAAAGTGTTGTGGTCAGATGAGACCAAAATCCAGCTCTTTGGCATCAACTCAACTCGCCGTGTTTGGAGGAGGAGGAATGCTGCCTATGACCCCAAGAACACCATCCCCACCGTCAAACATGGAGGTGGAAACATTATGCTTTGGGGGTGTTTTTCTGCTAAGGGTACAGGACAACTTCACCGCATCAAAGGGACGATGGACAGGGCCATGTAACGTCAAATCTTGGGTGAGAACCTCCTTCCCTCAGCCAGGGCATTGAAAATGGGTCGTGGATGGGTATTCCAGCATGACAATGACCCAAAACACACGGCCAAGGCAACAAAGGAGTGGCTCAAAAAGAAGCACATTAAGGTCCTGGAGTGGCCTAGCCAGTCTCCAGACCTTAATCCCATAGAAAATCTGTGGAGGGAGCTGAAGGTTCGAGTTGCCAAACGTCAGCCTCGAAACCTTAATGACTTGGAGAAGATCTGCAAAGAGGAGTGGGACAAAATCCCTCCTGAGATGTGTGCAAACCTGGTGGCCAACTACAAGAAACGTCTGACCTCTGTGATTGCCAACAAGGGTTTTGCCACCAAGTACTAAGTCATGTTTTGCAGAGGGGTCAAATACTTATTTCCCTCATTAAAATGCAAATCAATTCATAACATTTTTGACATGCGTTTTTCTGGATTTTGTTGTTGTTATTCTGTCTCTCACTGTTCAAATAAACCTACCATTAAAATTATAGACTGATCATGTCTTTGTCAGTGGGCAAACGTACAAAATCAGCAGGGGATCAAATACTTTTTTCCCTCACTGTATAAGACTGTTAAATAGCTACCAGGAATATCTGCATTTACCCTTTTTGCACTAACTCTTTTGACTCATGACATACACTGCTGTTACTGTTTGTTATCTATCCCGTTGCCTAGTCACTTTATCCCTACCTATACACTACCAGTCAAAAGTTTGGACACCTACTCATTCAAGGATTTTTCTTTATTTTAACTTTATTTTTTTTACATTGTACAATAATATTGAAGACATCAAAACTATGAAATAACACATATGTAATCATGTAGTAACCAAAAAAGTGTTAAACAAATCAAAATATATTTTATATTTGAGATTATTCAAATAGCCACCCTTTGCCTTGATGACATCTTTGCACACGCTTGGCATTTTCTCAACCAGTTTCATGAGGTAGTCACCTGGAATGCATTTCAATTAACAGTTGTGCCTTCTTAAAAGTTAATTTGTGGAATTTCTTTCCTTCTTAATGCGTTTGAGCCAATCAGTTGTGTTGTGACAAGGTAGGGGGGTATACAGAAGATAGCCCTATTTGGTAAAAGACCAAGTCCATATTATGACAAGAACAGCTCAAATAAGCAAAGAGAAACGACAGTCCATCATTAGTTTAAGACATGAAGGTCAGTCAATATGGAAAATGTCAAGAACTTTGAACGTTTCTTCAAGTGCAGTCGCAAAAACCATCAAGCACTATGATGAAACTGGCTCCCATGAGGACCCCCACAGGAAAGTAAGATCCAGAGTCACCTCTGCTGCAGAGGATAAGTTCATTAGAGTTACCAGCCTCAGAATTTGCAGCCCAAATAAATGCTTCACAGAGTTCAAGTCACAGACATCTCAACCCATCTCAACATCAACTGTTCAGAGGGGACTGTGTGATTCAGGCCTTCATGGTTGAATTGCTGCAAAGAAACCAATACTAAAGGTCTACTAAAGGACACCAAGAAGAAGAAGAGACCTGCTTCGGCCAAGAAACATGAGCAATGGACATTAGACCGGTGGAAATTTGTCCTTTGGTCTGGAGTCCAAATTTGAGATTTTTTGTTCCAACCGCATGTTTTTGTGAGACGCGGTGTGGGTGAACGGATTATCTCCGCATGTATAGTTCCCACCGTAAAGCATGGAGGAGGAGGTATTATGGTGTGGGGGTGCTTTGCTGGTGACACTGTGATTTATTTAGAATTCAAGGTAAGAACCATAGAAATAGAATCTCTAGAAGGGGCTTATTTAGACTGGTAAATTCATGGGTACACTCCATATGGCTGGTATTGTGATGCAATAATGTCCATGGCAATTTGGAATGTTCTATCAACTGCTGCTGGATTGCCATGGTAATGTAGAATGTTCATTCAAATGATGCTAAGTGATGTGGCTTACAATCAAGTTGTCATCTGAACCTAGGGTTATAAAAGCACCCTGACCAGCATTACCGAAATATCCACAACTACAGATATCACAAAGATCCCGATACTGCAGGACCTCAGTTCATGAGCTGCGACCAATGGTGTCTGAACCCTCCCTGGACCCGTCAAGACTTTCCCAGGTCCCGGCAGACTGGACCCGAGAGACCTCCGGAGACGTGTGGGAGGATGAAGGTGGGCAGCTCATTACTACACCTGTCCTTCGCTCACGACCTCCCGGCAGGTGGCTGAAATCAAAGGCCGGCTGGGATGATTGCGCCCCGAATGACTCCAAGCACACGGTGTCGCAGTTGTCTAATGGGCACGATGATAACAAGGACTCTTGCCACCCTCAGGGAGACACTGTAGATGGGGCAGAAATGTTCACGTCACCTGAGCCGGATGTGGACGACAAGAGCGACCTGATAGCCAAATTCACATACACCAAGAACCTGTATGTTACGGAAGCCGCAGCCACTGAGCTGGCCCAAGAGATAGCCGAGGAGAGGAACGAAGCTCTGCGTAAAGAAAACATTGGCCTGAAGAACCGGATGAGAAGCCTGAGGAGCTCCATGGAAGACATGGATACCCTGAAGGACATAGTCCTGGAGATGCGCAAATCCCTGGAGGAGAGCAACAGCACCACTACACGGCTGGAGACTCGACGTCTGCAGCTCCAACAGCAGAATGACTCCTTCAGGGATACGATTGAAAGTCTGAACGCTGATCTGTCCACCCTTATGCAGGAGAGAGCTGAGGATACGGTGAAGTTGCGGGATCTGAACCGCTGTATCGGCCTGTTGCAGTCCCAGGTCGATGAGGGCCGAATCACTTTTCTTCACAGGGAGGAGTTGATCCAGATGAAAACTTCGCTCATTGAGGAGATGCAAAGCTCTGTGGCCGAAAGCACATCCTGCGTCCTGGAGTTTCAGGAAAGGGTGCAGGACTTGGAGGAGCAAATTGCAGAAGCCAGGAACGCTAGTAAAGAACATGAGATGACAGATAACAGCTCCATTGCGCGCGGGAAAAGGGCCCATTCCTTTGCTGAGGAACTTGCGCAATGTAACAAGAACTCTGTTGATGAAGATATAAGTGAGGAGAAAGTGGAGGTTTCAACCACTCCAACCCAAAGCTGGCTGAGGAGAAGTCTGCTCGGGGGGCTACAGAAGGGGGTCTACCAGGCAAGGATTTTCGCCCTGGGCGGCATGGTTTCATTGTGCGTAATGGCCGCCAGTGTGCCCACATGCCAAATTGGGCATGGGGTTCCATGCGGAGACCTGCTTGAAGACACAGAAAAGGGCTTTTTCAAATCTTATGTGACTATTAATCACACTGCCCTCCCTCCTGTCTGAATGATTTTATATTTCAACATGTTCCATAAAGATAAGGTATTTTTGACCACAAACAAAAACGTATGTAGCCTATTCATGGATAGAATGTTTAAACCTACAGAGCAACACATACAACAGAGCTAACATTAACACATAAGTCTCAGTAAGCTTGTAATAAATACTTTATTATAAATATTCCAATAAATAACACTGTTAAATAAATACATATATTTCATACATCAAATAAATAAATCGCAGTCCCTAAATAAAGGAATAAATAAACAAATAGATTGACCAACATGATGTTCATTGATTAGCTATGCACTAAATCTACTGTCATGCAGCTCTAACTGAGACAAAAAGAGTTTAGCTAGCTTATGTCCTACTAATCTAAGCATACACAGTGTAGTGCAGTATTCAACAGTTATGATGACAAAGTAGTTGTTGATGTCTGATGAAGATAATCAATGTTGCTGATGATGAACTTGTTACAGTTGTAGGTGATGATGATGGTCAGTACTTGTTATAGTTGATGATGAGGAATCGGATGGTGTTGAAGATGAGGGTTTACTTCCTGTGGTCCCCAGCAGAGATGTAGCCCATTGCTCTGCTAATGGTGATGATCCGGAGGTGGAAGCCCTTCAGTACCTTACACAGATGGACCCGCTGGTCCACAGAGTCACCACTAGTCAGCTTAGGGTCTGCAACCTGCAGGGCAAAAGGAAACAAAACTGAAGTTTATAAAAATGCTAACTTTAAGTCCATAGTTGTGAATGCCTACTAGCAGTGACATTTGTGCTGTCAAACACAGAGGAACACATTTTTGTGTACAGTTTTGCAATTGTCTACATGCGGTTGTTGTCATTAGAAAACTGAATCAAAAGAAAAAAGGAAAATTCAGGGAAGGAAGGAATGTTTTCTGTACAAAAAAGGAAATAGAAAAATCTAATCTTACCTGTGAGGAAGGCTCGCCTTGTGTGGATGGACAATTATTGAGTAGGTTCTGGGTGTCCTGGGCAGTGGAGCTGAGGTCGGCCTGTTTGTAAGCCTGTAGTGAGGCAGCAAAATGTCCGAGGTCTGCTCGGATGTTCTTCAGACACTCACTCTGTCAGAAGAAACCATAAAGATGGACAGAGATCAGCCAATTGGACATATAGGAAGCAGTTGAAATGGGTGAGTTAAGAATGGGTGAATTATGTGAAATGCAGTCACTATTAAATCTATAGTCTGTCTAAAGATCTAACTACTTATTTTTATATCTGTGGATTTAAATAGCATACTCTAAACAATTATGCAATATTGTATGAACACAATAGTTACCTCACTAAATGTGGTGTTCTGTTGACCAGAGCATCTTGTGTTCTGAGGAAATACAGCAAAATAATGAATCAATAGACTAATTTGTATCACTATTCTGTAAATACTAATTATTAATTTCAATTAATACATAAAATGCAGAGAAATTATAATTTTGTATTAATAATGTTAATATGAATGTAGAAAATGACTGTTGTGGGACTTACCCTGTCCGTGTTGGGTTCGCAGGCTAGGACTGTCTGGGTCTTACGGTTTACCTCCACGCGCTGCTCTGAGCAGTTTAAACCACCAAACAGGTTTTCCTATGAAGGGAAAATTATTCAATTAGTAAGTGGATACATTAATCACAAACTGTGTGAACAAACTGTAAGTCTATCAAAGATACAGACAGACTGACTGACTGACTGAGGGATACATTAGATATTAATTGAACGTTCAAATGAATTAGTTATAATTGTCACTCACTTCGTCCAGGAGCTTTCTAACATTCTTGACGAGCTCTCTGGAGAGATTAGCGCACTGCGCACATTTCTCAGAGTCCAAACTCAGTGGCGTGGGCACTGGGGTTCCCAAAGAGACTTGGCAGGACAACGCGAGCAGCAGCACACAGCTGGCAAGGTCTGTGTGGAGGGAGGACACAATCAGTCAGTCAGCACCAACCAATGTATCACCTCAATAATCCTCTAAACAAACCAATGATAAAAACACCCCGGAAAATGTCATTCTTTAACTCCTATTTCAAATCAATAAATTAAAATGGAAGTCTATGTAAAGTTTGAGGCATATAATTTCAGAGGGTTAGTTGATCAAAAACCCACAATAAAATTAGGTACAAATAAAATTAATACTCACATAAATAAAAGTTTGGCAGCATGATTCTGAGATCTTTGACTCAAGTGTGGCGTAAACTGATGGGTTTGTTGTCATCTTTGCTTCATCTGATCATTATATAGCCATGCAGTGCTCCTTGAGGGAATTCCCTGGTCAGGTTTAAACACTAAGCTACGTATAGCACAACATCAAGCCCACAGAAATGAAAGCGACGCGTCAGTCATATGTAATTTCCTGAGTTGTCTCTGAATCTCAGGCCAGTGAGTCATGGCCTTGTTTCAATAGGCATGAGTTGGCTGAAGAGGAAACCAATGACTAGACCAGGACTGCCCAACCCTGTTCCTGGAGAGCATACTGTCCTGTAGGTTTTTGCTCCAACCCTAATCTAGCACACCTGATTCTAATAATTAGCAGGTTGATAAAATGAATCAGGTCAGTAACACCTGGGGTTGGAGCGAAAACCTACAGGAGGGTAGTTCTCCAGGAACAGGGTTGGGCAACAATCCAGAAACTCTGCAGCACCGATTGCCAGAAAACTATGTGAGACATGCATGCATTCCGAAGTCAATGTTTTACTCTAGCCTATGTAATTGTCAAAAATAGACAGATGACACAAAGAATAATGTTAGAAAGCATTTTCTAAATGTTTGTGCTATAGGCCTAGAGATATTGTGTGTGGGTAGTAAGTAGCCTTTAGCCTACTTTGACTGTTGTAAGCCTATTCTTTAGAAGGCTGGTTGTCTTAAATTACATTCATAGTTTTTTTCTTCTTCTGCAAAGCATTACATGCTTTTAATTGTGCATTATAAACACACATTTCGTAAGAACAATGTAAATATGAAATAGGTTTAATTTCCCAACGTTTGATTGAGTTCTTCACCACAGGGGTCAGAAAAAAGTGGTCCTTCCACCAATTCAGTGCCTTTTGAGAAGTAACTTGTAAAAATAAAAAATAAACTTTAGATTTCACCTAATAGGTATATTCTGTCATAAAGAGCACGTGTTCAACTTCATAAAAAATATGTTTCCCATCTCAAGAGACAAACAAAAAAGACTATAGCAAATGCCTATTAAGTGAGAAAGTGACATGGTTGACCATAATAGGGTTGATGATTTCATTTTAAATCAGGCATAAATCCCCCTGTGACAGTGTCATTTGGGGAGGACAAGTATGAAAATGTATGCACTCACCACTGTCAAATCAATCTGTATATGAGAGTCTGCTAAATGACTAAAATGTAATGGGATTGCCCAATACCCCTGCACACCCCCACAATTTGAACCCTGGCATTTTTAATTTGTTTACCATTGGCCTGTTTAATTTAGAAAGTCCTCCTCTTCCAGTAAAGGCTGACTCTCACTGGGCCTGTAGAGTGGTCAATCTGCAGGGGAGAGGAGTTTCACAGAAGCGGATGATGCTTGTGGTTGTGACCATTGACATGAGATCAGACCTCTCAAAACCACAATCACAGTAAAGTGCAGAGCTAGCTTAGGCCTAAGGTTTAACATCAGCTACTTTTTAAAATAAGATGACTGTTTATAAACAAATATTTGAATAGAAAAACTGATGCATCCATTCTCCATACTCTTGTTGCCTCTGAATAAAAGATTCAGCGGAGTGATCACCTTTTCTCTTCCCAGGTGGCAGTGATGTTGGTATGGTTATTAATATAACCTGCAATGTGCTTGTCAGTATTAGTATTACATAATTATAAAATAGTTATAAATGTACTGTTAATGTACTGTGTTTTGCCATATGGACATACAGTATGGACTTATAATATTTACAATAACCTGTCAATCTCTGTCCACTTTCCTTAACAGACTGCACACCAAACCACAATATATGAAACAAAGTTTATTTTTATTTTACATATCTGTACATAAACATTTCTTCCCTCAAATAAAAATTCTGAATACAATAGGATGAAAATGATATTAACACATTTATTCATTTAAAATGACTCGTGTCAGAAAATCAACATTCACAAAATGTTGAAGACCGATCAGAGTGAGCGTATTACCAAAAGCTACAACTCCACTACAAGGCAGGCATGTTTCCTTTACACTCTTTTAGCACCTTCAAATAAACATTTCTCAGTTGAAAACTACCATTTGTGCAGAATAAAAAGAGGTCGACTTTGAAATACTTAAAAATTACCTTCCAACTTAAAATGGTCTGAAGTTAGTCTTCATAGTTTTATACAATGTTTTTTTAATTTTTTATATTTTTTTACTGACTTTCTACTAATTTCTCACTATTATTTATTTTTTTATCCACCATTTTGTATTGACAGTTATAATTTAGTGGCGAATGTAAAAAGTTAAAAATAAACAATAGCGAAGCAAGGCCGATCAATGCACAGGAAGCCGGGGACAGTATCCATGACAACACACAATCAGTTTCCTCTTCTCCCAGGAGGCAGGAAATGCTCTGTCTTTAGCGCTGGGACAACCACAGAAGCAAATGAAAGGGTGGCCTTCCTCTGGCTGCTGCCACCATGGGAGAGGGTGAGAGGGGCAGGCAGAGGGGGAGCAGCGAGAGACATGGGGCAGGGCACAGGGACCAAGGTGGGGCAGGGGTGGAGTAAAGGGATGGGGTGGGTTTGAGGTTGGGTGGGGTGTCTCATTTGGATGGGGTCTTCTCAGCCATGTGTTTCTGCTGGCTCTCAGCATGCCTGAGTAAAAACGAAATTATGATTAGATAAACTGTACTTTATCAGCTACTGCTGTATGGAAATCATGCAAATGTATCACACTGCTAAACGCCTGTCCCAAAGACAGAGTTCCCCCAATCATTCCTGGCCTGTTTGCGGTCATAGCCCAGGAAGCTGTGTGTGTGTGTGTGTGTGTGTGTGTGTGTGTGTGTGTGTGTGTGTGTGTGTGTGTGTGTGTGTTAGATAGCATCACCACCTGGTCAGGTCCTCTATGTCCACCAGCATGGCATCCTGCTCCATGTGCAGTTCATCACGGATCAGCAGCAGCTGCACCAGCTCCTCATTCAGACCTGGGGAAGACAAACATCAGAACAACGTTAGAAAACAACAGCGCATCATTAGAACACCAACATATACCAGGGGCTGGATTCAATCCATATTGCGGAAGTATCGCGGAAGATCTGTGTTAAAATGTAAAGGTAATTTATGATTGAGCCGACATATGCAGTGCTTACCGTGAACGCAGTCTCCGCAAACGCGGGAACATTGCCTTTATATATAATTTCAAACAAGCTGTAACACGGATCTTCTGCGATACGGATTGAATCCAGCCCCAAGTCATACAAGACACAGATTTCGAATGGAGCATTTTTTTTAACCATGCCAGTAAAAGACAAGATTCTATAGCAACATTCTTGTGGGGAATTTTTGGGCCTTCTGTGTAAGATTAGGTATTGTTCGTCTTTCACTAGTATCATCACACATGCATCCAACTTACAGTACCAGTCAAAAGTTTGGACACACCTACTCATTCCAGGGTTTTACTTTATTTTTTACTATTTTCTACATTGTAGAATAATAGTGAAGACATCAAAACTATCAAATAACACATATGGAATCATGTAGTAACCAAAAAAGTGTTAAACAAATAAAAATATATTTTACATTTGAGATTCTTAGAAGTAGCCACCCTTTGCCTTGATGACAGCTTTGAGCACTCTTGGCATTCTCTCAACCAGTCTTGAAGGAGTTCCCACATATGCTGAGCAATTGTTGGCTGCTTTTCCTTAGCGGTCATACTCATCCCAAACCATCTCAATTGGTTTGAGGTCAGGTGATTGTGGAGGCGAGGTCATCTGATGCAGCACTCCATTACTCTCCTTCTTGGTCAAATAGCCCTTACACAGCCTGGAGGTGTGTTTGGTCATTGTCCTGTTGAAAAACAAATTATAGTCCCACTAAGCCCAAACCAGATGGGATGGCGTATCGCTGCAGAATGCTGTAGTATCTATGCTGGTAAGTGTGCCTAGAATTCTAAATAAATGACAGACAGTGTCACCAGCAAAGCACCCCCACACCTCCTCATCCATGCTTCATGGTGGGAACCACACATGCGGAGATCATCCGTTCATCTACACTACGTCTCACAAAGACGGATGGAACCAAAAATCTCAAATTTGGACTCATCAGACCAAAGGACAGATTTTCACCGGTCTAATGTCCATTGCCTGTGTTTCTTGGCCCAAGCAAGTATCTTCTTATTATTGGTGTCCTTTAGTAGTGGCTTCTTTGCAGCAATTCGACCATGAAGGCCTGATTCACGCAGTCTCCTCTGAACAGTTGATGTTGAGATGTGTCTGATGGTTTTTGCGACTGCACTTGAAGAAACGTTCAAAGTTCTAGAAATGTTCCATATTGACTGACCTTCATGTCTTAAAGTAATGATGGACTGTCGTTTCTCTTTGCTTATTTGAGCTGTTCTTGACATAATATGGACTTGGTCTTTTACCAAATAGGGCTATCTTCTGTATACCCCCCTACCTTGTCACAACACAACTGATTGGCTCAAACGCATTAAGAAGGAAAGAAATTCCACAAATTAACTTTTAACAAGGCACACCTGTTAATTGAAATGCATTCCAGGAGACTACCTCATGAAGCTGGTTGAGAGAATGCCAAGAGTGTGCAAAGCTGTCATCAAGGGTGGCTACTTTGAAGAATCTCAAACATAAGATATATTTTGATTTGTTGAACAATTTTTTGGTTACTACATGATTCCATATGTGTTATTTCATAGTTTTGATGTCTTCACTATTATTCTACAATGTAGAAAATAGTAAAAATAAAGTAAAATCCTTGAATGAGTAGGTGTATCCAAACCTTTGACTGGTACTGTACGTTGTCTGAAATGACTTTCAATACGAAAGATACCCTAACTAACAGTATGTGTGTGTGGTCTTGTTCTTCTATCCTCATGGAGACCTGAAATCCCCAAAAGTCCCCACAATGATAGTAAAATAAGAAAGATTCTCCCTCTTGGGGAAATTTCCCACGTCCCCATAAGGTCAAAGGCTATTTTAAGCTTAGGGGTTAATGGTTAGGGTTAGGTTTAGGGGTTAGGGTTAGGGTTAAAGTTAGGGGTTAGGGGTTAGGGAAAATAGGATTTTGAATGGAAATCAATTTTAGGTCCCCACAGGGATAGGAAAACATGTGTGTGTGTGTGTGGTTCTCACTCTCTATCTGGGAGTGCAGGTCATTGACTATGACCTGTAGTTGTCCCAGGGTCATGTCTCTCAGGTCTGTAGGCTTCAGGCTCCTCTTCATCAGACACTCACTGATGTGGGGCATGTGGGGCAGCTAGAGAGAAACACACACATCACCACGGTTAGAAATACACACACACCCATTTACAGAAACATACAGCACATCGGAAATGTACAAGTACACAAATATGGACACTCATGATATGGATTCTTGGGCACTAGAGAACCCAAAGACACTGCAGTGTATGTTGGTGTGAGTGTGTGTAGGCCTATGTGTGTTTGTGTGTGCAAGATGGTGCAAATGCTTGAGGAAAGGCATCATTTCAGTTTAATCTGCATCTCATAAAGAATTCCAGCCACTGAAAGCAGCCCAATACTACAGGAGCTGCCCAACTGTAAGATGCAAAGCACAATCTCTCCAGCAGGTGTCAGCCTCGCAACTTAACTGTCACAGCAATATACAGTACAGCAGTGGTCCCTGACCTGTCTCTGGTCATAGAGAGCTACAGGAAACAACTCTGTCTCCTTCCTCCTGGCCATAGCCGCTGGAAGTAAGGGTGCTGAGGGTGCTGAAAATCAGATTTCTTGTTGTTGTTGTTGTAAAAAAGTAGTGCACTGGGCCTTTACTAGCCCTGTATTAGCGGACCGACATAGCCGTCTGTAGTGTGGCCAAAGCATTTTTTTTCAGCATCATCCCCCCCCGTCAGCCAAAAAATCGCAGCACCCCATCCACCAAACTACTTCCCACGGCTATGCTCCTGGCAGTAAGCAACACACTCTACTTTGTCTTCCTGAATTCTCTGACTGGTTGTTCTTGTCAAATCAACACACAGCCTTTCACTGTGGTGATGTCATTTGTGATTCCTTCAAGATTTTCAGTTCCTCTTCCTCTCATCCACCTCTTTATATCCCTCCCCTTCTCTCTCTCTCTGTATGTCACTCACCACACCTTGTTGGGTTCCATAGGGACAGATATGACATTAACCCTAGAGAGTAACCAAGGTGAATCACAAAGCATCATGTTGTTTATCAGGCTTGCTGGGTATGAGAATTTCCCTCGATCCCTTGTTCAATCTATTTCTATCATCTGTGCATCTCCTTGCTTTCTTAACTTTTTGGGGGTAGATCAGCTTTAATATTGCAGATAGATTGTTACTTCCACCAATGTAATTGTCTGTTTCCAATCCCCCATATACAATACAGGTCAAAGGTTTTAGAACACCTACTCATTCAAGGGTTTTTACTATTTTTACTATTTTCTACATTGTAGAATAATAGTGAAGACATCAAAACAATGAAATAACACATATGGAATCATGTAGTAACCAAAAAAGTGTTGAACAAATCAAAATATATTTTATATTTGAGATTCTTCAAATAGCCACCCTTTGCCTTGATGACAGCTTTGCACACTCTTGGCATTCTCTCAACCAGCTTCATGAGGTAGTCTCCTGGAATGCATTTCAATTAACAAGTGTGCCTTGTTAAAAGTTAATTTGTGGAATTTCTTTCCTTCTTAATGCGTTTGAGCCAATCAGTTGTGTTGTGACAAGGTTGGGGTGGTATACAGAAGATAGCCCTATTGGTAAAAGACCAAGTCCATATTATGGCAAGAACAGCTCAAATAAGCAAAGAGAAACGACAGTCATCATTACTTTAAGACATGAAGGTCGGTCAATACAGAACATTTCAAGAACTTTTTAAGTTTCTTCAAGTGCAGTCGCAAAAACCATCAAGCGCTATGATGAAACTGGCTCTCAGAAATTGCAGCCCAAATAAATGCTTCACAGAGTTCAAGTAACAGACACATCTCAACATAAACTGTTCAGAGGAGACTGTGTGAATCAGGCCTTCATGGTTGAATTGCTGCAAAGAAACCACTACTAAAGGACACCAATAATAAGAAGAGACTTGCTTGGGCCAAGAAACACGAGCAATGGACATTAGACCGGTGGAAATGTGTCCTTTGGTCTGTAGTCCAGATTTGAGATTTTTGGTTCCAACCGCCGTGTCTTTGTGAGACGTGGTGTGGGTGAACGGATGATCTCCGCATGTGTATTTCCCACCGTAAAGCATGGAGGTGGAAGTGTTATGGTGTGGGGGTGCTTTGCTGGTGACACTGTCTGTGATTTATTTAGAATTCAAGGCACCCTTTAAGAGCATGGCTACCACAGCATTCTGCAGCGATACGCCATCCCATCTGGCTTGGGCTTAGTGGGACTATCATTTGTTTTTCAACAGGACAGTGACCCAACACACCTCCAGGCTGTGGAAAGTTTGGGATGAGTCGGACCACAGAGTGAAGGAAAAGCAGCCAACAAGTGCTCAGCATATGTGGGAACTCCTTCAAGACCGTTGGAAAAGCATTCCAGGTGAAGCTGGTTGAGAGAATGCCAAGAGTGTGCAAAGCTGTCATCAAGGCAAAGGGTGGCATTTGAAGAATCTCAAATATAAAATGTATTTTGATTTATTTAACACTTTTTTGGGTTACTACATGATTCCATGTGTTATTTCATAGTTTTGATGTCTTCACTATTATTCTACAATGTAGAAAATAGTAAAAATAAAGAAAAACCCTTGAATGAGTAGGTGTTCTAAAACTTTTGACCGGTAGTGTATATCTTTTAAAAATAAATGTTCCTTTATTATTTTCCCCTAACCCTACCACTCATCCCCTAATTGGAGTAAACCAATGAACAACAACACTTATACTTCTACTTCCAGCTTATAGATACTATATACATTTTATGGACACAGTATATTTTACATTAGTTATCTTGTTGTTTTTAGTCCCCCCCTTCAGCTCCACTCAACCCCTCCCATTTATCTCTTAAAACCATCCAGTTTTGATTTCTATTTGCCATATATTTTTCAACTGTGATGTGATGTTTCACAAAAGTTCTGAACCTTTCTATTCTCATAGTTTCTACAGATTGTAAATGAAAGATAACTGTTTTTGCTAAAAGTATTATTATATTATTGATAGATTGACTATAACTTTTCAAATCACCCAGCAGCATTATTTGCAGAGTTAGCTCCAGATAAATGTTGCAATTCTTCAGCCATTCCTGAACCTGCGACCAAAAACAGGCCACATATGAACAGTACCAAAATAAATGATCTACTGATTCTGTCTCATCGCAGCAAAATCTGCAGAGCTGGGATATATATACAGTTGAAGTCGGAAGTATACATACACTTAGATTGGAGTCATTAAAACTTGTTTTTCAACCACTCCACAAATTTCTTGTTAACAAACTATAGTTTTGGCAAGTCGATTAGGATATCTACTTTGTGCATGACACAAGTAATTTTTCCAACAATTGTTTACAGACAGATTATTTAACGTATAATTCACTGTATCACAATTCCAGTGGGTCAGAAGTTTACATACACTAAGTTGACTGTGCCTTTAAACAGCTTGGAAAATTCCACAAAATGATGTCATGGCTTTAGAAGTCAATTGGAGGTGTACCTGTGGATGTATTTCAAGGCCTACCTTCAAACTCAGTGCCTCTTTGCTTGACATCATGGGAAAATCAAAAGAAATCAGCCAAGACCTCAGAAAAAAAATTGTAGACCTCCACAAGTCTGGTTCATCCTTGGGAGCAATTTCCAAATGTCTGAAAGTACCACGTTCATCTGTAAAAACAATAGTACGCAAGTATAAACACCATGGGACCACGCAGCCGTCATACCGCTCAGGAAGGAGACGCGTTCTGTACTTTGGTGCGAAAAGTGCAAATCAATCCCAGAACAACAGCAAAGGACCTTGTGAAGATGCTGGAGGAAACAGGTACAAAAGTATCTATATCCACAGTAAAACAAGTCCTATATTGACATAACCTGAAAGGCCGCTCAGCAAGGAAAAAGCCACTGCTCCAAAACCGCCATAAAAAAGCCAGACTACGGTTTGCAACTGCACATGGGGACAAAGATCGTACTTTTTGGAGAAATGTCATCTGGTCTGATGAAACAAAAATAGAACTGTTTGGCCATAATGACCATCGTTATGTTTGGAGGAAAAAGGGGGATCCTTGCAAGCCGAAGAACACCATTCCAACCGTGAAGCACGGGGTGGCAGCATCATGCGGTGGGGGTACTTTGCTGCAGGAGGGACTGGTGCGCTTCACAAAATAGATGGCATCATGTGGAAGGGAAATTATGTGGATATATTGAAGCAACATCTCAATACATCAGTCAGGAAGTTAAAGCTTGGTCGCAAATGGGTCTTCCAAATGGACAATGACCCCAAGCATACTTCCAAAGTTGTGCCAAAATGGCTTAAGGACAACAAAGTCAAGGTATTGGAGTGGCCATCACAAAGCCCTGACCTCAATCCTATAGAAAATGTGTGGGCAGAACTGAAAAAGCGTGTGCGAGCAAGGAGGCCTACAAACCTGACTCAGTTACACCAGCTCTGTCAGGAGGAATGGGCCAAAATGCACCCAACTTATTGTGGGAAGCTTGTGGAAGGCTACCCAAAATGTTTGACCCAAGTTAAACAATTTAAAGGCAATGCTACCAAATACTAATTGAGTGTATGTAAACTTCTGACCCACTGGGAATGTGATGAAAGAAATAAAAGCTGAAATAAATCATTCTTTCTACTATTATTCTAACATTTCACATTCTTAAAATAAAGTGGTGATCCTAACTGACCTAATACAGGGAATTTTTACTAGGATTAAATGTCAGGAATTGTGAAAAACTGAGTTTAAATGTATTTGGCTAAGGTGTATGTAAACTTCCGACTTCAACTGTATATAACATTCCATATTATGTATTTAACATTCTATTGGTTGCAAGAATTTTGTATAATAATTTAAATAAAAAAAATATACATTTTGAAGCCGGCGTCATATTGTGTATCAGTTCATAAACCATGTGCCATGGAATGGGTACATCGAAAATCTCTTCCCAACTATTTTGCAATCTATATGGCACAGCTGTAAATGTTTTGGTCCTTAAATTAAACTGGTATACATTTTTATTAATCACAATTTTCTTTAACCAATTTCGGTCTTTAATGCAGGGCCGACAGACAAGTTCCTTCCCACTTACACTTGCCTCTTCCATTTTTGCGGTAATGTTGCAATTAGTTGGTTGTAATTTTGGGTAGAGCAGACATTTTCATATATATTTTGTTGGCTGCATGTGTGACAGCTCCACCAGTCCTATTTATGATATCACTTACAAAGATTATACTTTAAAAATATATATATATCCAAAAATAATGTTTTTTTGATCAATTAGTATATTTTAGTTTAACCATAATATTTGTTGTAATATTTCTTCTGTCTTTTCTGGTGGATTAAACTGAAATTGCAACCAACTTTCTATGGCTTGTTTAAAAAATTGCGATATTTTGGAGATTATTTCATTTTCAAATTACCGAAAGTGAGAGGTTGTAATCTGAATAAAGGGAAAAAGCCGATTCTTGAACATAGAGTGAGACATTCTTACCAATCTGCTAGAGAACGAGTTTGGATTTAAGTATAACTTTTGTATGACTGAATCCTTTAGTGAGAGGTCTAATGCTTTAATATTTAATAATTTCTGCCCTCCGAATTCATACTCATTATAAATATGTGCTCCTTCCATTGCACTTTTTCTGTATGATTTGTGAGTGTGCGTGATCGCTCAGCTGGTTCTTCCTGTCACAGTTTCTCACTCCTCTTTCACTTTCAAATTGGCACCCATGCAACTGCGCTAGTGGCCATGTTTCCCCCCTGTCATGTGCCACCGTTTCAGTTCGGAGAGGGAGCACAGAGGTCAGTGACATACAGAGAGAGGCGGGGCTGTGATAAAAGAGAGTGAGGGAGATAGAGAGTGAAAGATGCGGAGATGCGGGGAGAGCCGGCCACCGCGAGTGGTAGTGTTTTGGTCATGATATGTGTTTGCCTCATTGTGTTTGTCCGAGGTGGAGTTTCCTCCCTCAGTTATATTACTGGATTGGTTTCTCTATGAGTCTTGGCTTCTGAGGTTAGTGGCAATATGAATAAAGCTACTGCCAACAATAATACTCAAGTATTTCATCATATCAGTATTCTCTTAGATTAGGCATGATATGAATGGGGAAAAACAAACAGAATGTAATTCTCTTGGTGGGAGTGTTGTGTAAATTCTTGTGTAAATTCTTTGGAAGGCCACATTTACATTTTTTACATTTTTAGTCATTTAGCAGACGCTCTTATCCAGAGCGACTTACAGTTAGTGAATACATGTTTTTTTGTTTTGTTTTTTATACTGGCCCCCCGTGGGAATCAAACCCACAACCCTGGCGTTGCAAACGCCATGCTCTATCAACTGAGCTACATCCCTGCGGGCCATTCCCTCCCTTCCTGTCCATTCCCTCCCCTACCCTGGACGACGCTGGGCCAATTGTGCACCGCCCATGAGTCTCCCGGTCGCGGCCGGCTGCGACAGAGCCATGGCTTCAGTGGATTAAAGCGTAGTATCTGGTGTAAAACCACATCTCCTCACACACATTCTCCTCATTTCTCCTGTCATTAGTGGCTTACACAAGAGCCCCTGGCACTCAACCCCATGGCCACTGGCCGCCAGCCTGCACTCTGACTATGTATGTTTGGTAGGGCTGCAATCAACTGGTAAAGGTTCACATTCTTGTATATTTCTATAAAGAATGTATTGAGAACTTATGCACATCCCTATAATAATGAGCATGTAGTTGTGAGTCTGCCCAATTTATGCTAAAGGAGTATAGTGTACCGTAAGTAGCTCGGAAGCTAATGCTATCTGAGCATGGCGCCCCTGTGTTCAGTACAGCAGTGTGTTAGCTTAGCGACAGGGCCTCATCTGCCCCTGTGTTCAGTAGAGCAGTGTGTTAGCTTAGCGACAGGGCCTCAGATCTACCCCTGTGTTCAGTACAGCGGTGTGTTAGCTTAGCGACAGGGCTTTATCTGCCCCTGTGTTTAGTACACCAGTGTGTTAGCTTAGCGACAGGGCCTCAGATGTGACACTCATCTCTTCTGACTGCTGGGCTCGACTACATCCCCAAACACGTCACCCAGTGCATCCTGGGATATGAATAATAGATCGCCCCAACCCAACCACCCCCTCTTTACTGAATAAGTAATGTCTTCTGCCCAGGTGGAGATATTGGTGTGTGTGTGTGTGTATCTGTGTGTGTGTGTATGTGGGACTTTGTATGTGTGTGTGCTTGGGGGGCACTGAGGCAGATGAGAATGTTAAAATAATCATGACTATGGCCGCCAACGGGACAGAGAAGGAGGAGGGTGGTGTCTACTCTGTGACATCATCACAATGTTAAAGAAGAACAGTGTGGATGGTTTGCTCTGAAAAGACCTGGGGTTAGAAACACTGACTAGAGGTTGAGGTTTCAGGCCCGTTCCCTATAGCGACGGTACTGACCAGGTCTGCCACAGGGGGACTTCTTGCGGTTCTGTTTTTCCACCTCCACCTGCATCTTGGCCATGGGTTTGGCCATCGCCAGGGCTAGCTTAGCCTCGGCCTGCAACTTCTTCTTTCTGCTCAGGAAGTCCATGTCCTCCAGAGACTCACTGTCTTCCTCCGTAGTGTCCCGGTCAGAGTAGGACGAACTCTGCTTCGACTGGGGGACAGGGACGTGGGGAGAGTGGAGACAGAAGAATGGGAAATAAGGAAAAGTTAGTGGTTTATTCCCATTGGCTCTTCGTTCTTCTTGTGTAGTCATTGATAGGTAATTCACTGAACACAGTGGACAGACAGACAGGGAAACAGCTCAGAGCTATAACAGATGGCTATAAATACTGGGATTATCTCCCTCTCTCCCTCTCTCCCTCCCCCCCACTCTCTATTAACTGCATCTGTGTCTGTCAGACAGTCCATGTGGCCACTCATCCATGTCCAGCAGAGAGCGTGTTCATATTCAACCCTCATTTGCTGCCAGTGTATTGGTTAACGGGCCAGAAAACGTGAGCATGGCCATTCACTCTCCCTCACACACTAACCGAGGGCTATCACTCTGATTCATACCGAATCTGTCCCTTTCTCTCTTTCTCTCATTCTCTCAGACAGTCTTACTGAGGCGTATCTATATGAGTCACACAGTAGATTTCGCTCTCTCTCTAAGAATCTCTATTTCTTATTAATGCGCTTGTGTGGTCGGTCTGTACCATGGGGGACAGCGGTGTGTCCAGACTGGTCTCTGTCTTGCTGTCGTCTGCATCGCTGTCCTTGTCGCTGCCGCTGTCGTTGACAAAACAGATCTGCAGGTTCATCCCACTCTGCAGCCTGGAGAGAGGAGAGAGGAAGAAAGAGGAAAGAGGAGGAAGAGAGAGGGGAGAAAAAAGGGGGAGAGGATGCGTCATTACTATCGGCTAACGGAAGGAGGAAGTTCAATGGGTTAAGGAAAGTTTGCTCACCAATAATTGCTTGTAGGGTTTTATTGACCCAGATAACATGCGCCTAGGCACCGCTGGTGAGAAAAGCAACTCAATAACAGTCACATCTAGTTTTCCACTCAGGCCGAACCCTCCTCTAACTCTCCACTGAGGTCTTAGTGTGTCTGTGATAGGACTGTAACAGTGACTAGCATAGCATTAATAAGTATGTCTACTCTGTTCCTCCCTCTCTTGCTCTAACTTGGGATCGATCCATCCAGGGTGAAGGTTCGATCCAATCAGCTAGACTCTGACGGCTCTCTAGACCTCAGAAGACCTGTCCTGTAAGATCTGGATCAAACCATTCTTGATCAATAATCGGCTTATTTCAAGCAGTAATTACAAACACATGTAAAGAAAACCTGATCGATTACACAGCCTGGACCCAATCAGTCCAGATTTAATCAGACCAGATTAATCGATTCGTAGTTTCAGAGGAAGGAGCATCAAAATTATTCTTGGAACTAGTTGAGCAGTTCATGGAAGTACCAAACTTATCCAGCAGTGAGTGCACCCCATAAGAGTTGCTTCAGTGAGAAATAAAATATGAATATATCATAGTTTCAGATTAACTGTGTGAATGCCTTTGTGTGTATGAATGTATGAATGTATGTACAGTGGGGAAAAAAAGTATTTAGTCAGCCACCAATTGTGCAAGTTCTCCCACTTAAAAAGATGAGAGAGGCCTGTAATTTTCATCATAGGTACACGTCAACTATGACAGACAAAATGAGAAAGAAAAATCCAGAAAATCACATTGTAGGATTTTTAATGAATTTATTTGCAAATTATGGTGGAAAATAAGTATTTGGTCAATAACAAAAGTTTCTCAATACTTTGTTATATACCCTTTGTTGGCAATGACACAGGTCAAACGTTTTCTGTAAGTCTTCACAAGGTTTTCACACACTGTTGCTGGTATTTTGGCCCATTCCTCCATGCAGATCTCCTCTAGAGCAGTGATGTTTTGGGGCTGTCGCTGGGCAACACGGATTTTCAACTCCCTCCAAAGATTTTCTATGGGGTTGAGATCTGGAGACTGGCTAGGGCACTCCAGGATCTTGAAATGCTTCTTACGAAGCCACTCCTTCGTTGCCCGGGCAGTGTGTTTGGGATCATTGTCATGCTGAACGACCCAGCCACGTTTCATCTTCAATGCCCTTGCTGATGGAAGGAGGTTTTCACTCAAAATCTCACGATACATGGCCCCATTCATTCTTTCCTTTACACGGATCAGTCGTCCTGGTCCCTTTGCAGAAAAACAGCCCCAAAGCATGATGTTTCCACCCCCATGCTTCACAGTAGGTATGGTGTTCTTTGGATGCAACTCAGCATTCTTTGTCCTCCAAACACGACGAGTTGAGTTTTTACCAAAAAGTTATATTTTGGTTTCATCTGACAATATGACATTCTCCCAATCCTCTTCTGGATCATCCAAATGCACTCTAGCAAACTTCAGACGGGCCTGGACATGTACTGGCTTAAGCAGGGGGACACGTCTGGCACTGCAGGATTTGAGTCCCTGGCGGCGTAGTGTGTTACTGATGGTAGGCTTTGTTACTTTGGTCCCAGCTCTCTGCAGGTCATTCACTAGGTCCCCCCGTGTGGTTCTGGGATTTTTGCTCACCGTTCTTGTGATCATTTTGACCCCACGGGGTGAGATCTTGCGTGGAGCCCCAGATCGAGGGAGATTATCAGTGGTCTTGTATGTCTTCCATTTCCTAATAATTGCTCCCACAGTTGATTTCTTCAAACCAAGCTGCTTACCTATTGCAGATTCAGTCTTCCCAGCCTGGTGCAGGTCTACAATTTCGTTTCTGGTGTCCTTTGACAGCTCTTTGGTCTTGGCCATAGTGGAGTTTGGAGTGTGACTGTTTGAGGTTGTGGACAGGTGTCTTTTATACTGATAACAAGTTCAAACAGCTGCCATTAATACAGGTAACGAGTGGAGGACAGAGGAGCCTCTTAAAGAAAAAGTTACAGGTCTGTGAGAGCCAGAAATCTTTCTTGTTTGTAGGTGACCAAATACTTATTTTCCACCATAATTTGAAAATAAATTCATTAAAAATCCTACAATGTGATTTTCTGGATTTTTTCTCTCTCAATTTGTCTGTCATAGTTGACGTGTACCTATGATGAAAATTACAGGCCACTCTCATCTTTTTAAGTGGGAGAACTTGCACAATTGGTGGCTGACTAAATACTTTTTTTCCCCACTGTATGTGTATCCTGGAAGGCTGCTTCCAGTAAGGTTGAGGGTGTGTGTAGGAGTGCATTTTGGGAAGTGAGATCCACAGTGCCGGGGTGCAGAGAAAGACAGAGGAAATGTCCCTTATTCTCAAAAGTGAACAGAGATTTCAGAGGGAGAGAGCAGGAGTCTGTTTTTGTTGGGGAGATGGCCCTATAGAGTTCCAGGAGATAGAAACTGTTACAGGCATTAAGAAAAGGTCAAATCTGACTCTGTCAGAGTAATGTCCAGTAACCTGCAATTTCACTATATTAACAGTTCCCACACGCATAAAGAGAGCGATGTCATTGCTTCTCAAGAACAGGGACTGAGGGTGAAACTGATCTGTTTCTGTAGGTGTGTGTCTGTAGGTGTGTGTCTGTATGTGTGTGTCTGTATGTGTGTGTGTGTGTGTCTGTATGTGTGTATGTGGGTAGGGCTGTTACGGTCATGGCATTTTGGATGACGTAAATTGGCCAGCAAAATGACCGCGGTCACCGTAATAACCGTTCGAATGGCCCCAAAAGATTTCTAAGCACATTTTCTCCTCTCCTCTGCTCCTGACTGCATGTGCTGCCATAGAAATATAATAAATAGTCAATGATGAAGTCAATGATGGCATAATGGGTAAACTGGCGGCCATTGTGAGTGTACCCATAGGAACAAAGCAGGAATTAAATAAAATATGTGCTAAAATATGTGCTATGATTTGTTGATTCAACTCAACTGACATTACAAAAAATACAATCCATTGCATGAGCCAAATCAGTTAACATCATTTGAATGAACATTCTACCTTACCATGGAAAGTATTGCATCACAATAACAGGCAGCCATTGCGACTGTACCCATGAGTTTACCAGTCAAGGTGAGAGGTTCCAAGACCGTTTTATTCATTATATTTCTATGTGTGCTGCTGCTGCATTGTGGGGGGCGTTGCCTAGTCAACCGAAGACTAATTTCCTTGTTTCAGCAAGGAGCAACAAAGTTGCATCACATTGTTAAGAGTCCATGTTACGGCCAAAACGTACTCAACCGCACTAATGCCCGGCCTTCAGTCAGCTGTTCGTTCCACATAACATGTTCCGTTATGACGGTTATTTAATTTCATGGCGGCCTTCATCATTAACCGTCGGTTGCACGGTTATATGGTAATTGTGCCAGCACTATGTGTGTCAAATCAATTCAAATCAAATCAAATGTTATTGGTCACATACACATATTTAGCAGATGTTATTGCGGGTGTAGCGAAATGCTTCTGTTCCTAGCTCCAACAGTGCAGTAGTATCTAACAATTCACAACAATACACACAAATCTAAAAGTAAAAGAATGGAATTAAGAAATATATAAATATTAGGACGAGCAATGTCGGAGTGGCATTGACTAAAATACAGTAGAATACAGTATATACTGTACATATGAAATGAGTAAAACAGTATGTAAACATTATTAAAGTGACTAGTGTTCCATTATTAAAGTGACCAGTGATTCCATGTCTATGTACATAGGGCAGCAGTGTGTGTCTGATGATAGAGATCACATGATGTCTCTTACCGTGAGGACAGACTGGGCTTGCCACTCTTGCTGCAGCTGGTATAGATACCCGGCCCATCGTCAAAGAAACTACCCAGGGCCAGCTTCTGCCGGATGGACTCCCTCTCATTCTTTTGGGCCTGGAAGGGAGAGGAAAGGGTTAAGGAAACTTGGCTAATAATAGGACTGAATACTTCCCCATGAGTTTAGCAGTAGCCATGTTGTGAGGAGGGGAACTGACAAAGACTGTTAAACATGTGGACAGCTCTAGACACCAATAATATTGTAATATTCACCACTAGGTGGTGCAGATGTATGCAAGAAAGAGAGTCCAACACATTTTCACTGGTCACTCTCTCGCTCTCCATCTTACACATGCAGACACTCATGCAGTCAAACACACACATCCCTAAACCACTGAGCATTCCTGTCTAATAGCACTATAAGCATTCCTGCCTCCTGGGCCTGTTTTCCAGTAGGAAAACCTCTGACCCAGGCAGCCTTGGCAGCACTTAACACACTCACACCCGGAGGAACACTCATATGTGCTAATGGCAACACAGGAGGCTGGTGACGGGAGGACGGCTCATATGGCTGGAATGAAGTGAATAGATTGGTGTCAAACACATGGAACCCATGTGTTTGATATATTCCATTGATTCCGTTCCAGCCATTACTATGAGCCCGTCCTCCCCAATTAAGGTGCCACCAGCCGCCTGTGAATGGCACCCTGCACCCTGCCGAGCACACGCCTGAGAAGAAGTGTGTAGAGAAGAGTGTAGAGACAGGCCTTCTCTCACACTCCCTGGGCTGGGTTATCAGCCACAGTAACCAGGCCTATCAGCAGACAGACAACATAGTAGGAGTTTAGACTGTTCAAGGCCACTACAGGACTGTTGTTGTTACAGGTGGTGCTGGGAAGTCAAATGGGTACCAGAGTCAGATACATCGCAGTGTGTGTGTTTTTGCCGGGGGTTGGGAGTCCTCGAGGACGAGGAGTGTTTGGGGTAAAATATTGACCCTCTCTAAAGGCCCTGAGGGAGGAAGAAAAAAACCTTTCAGCGCTCCCACACACACACACACACACAAACAGACAAAGAGCAGGCCTTTCAGACAACAGGAGAGGGGGGAGGAGAGAGGTTTAGAGAAAGAGGGGGAGAGGAGAGCTTTTAGAGAAGGCTTTGGAGGAGAGGGGGAAGGAGGTGAGGGGAATAAGAGCAAAGGAGAAGATGTCAGAAGCCTTGAGTGTTATCCCTCTCTTTAACCCTGTCCTCAACCTCTCTCCATTTCTCTTTCTCCTTACCTCTATCTCTTTTCCACTAACTCACCCTTTCTCTTTCTTTATCTCCCTCCCTCCCTCCCTCCCTCCCTCCCTCCCTCCCTTCCTCGATGGCGACATTACCATAATCCCTCTCCACACCAGACAGCCCAGGAAACACCGCTACTGTTGGCACCCACAAGAGGGGGCTTGGCACAGCATTGCGTTTGTGTGCTTGCGTGTGTGTGACTGAGTGAGAGAAAGAGAGTGTGACGAGGGGTTCTGGGGGAGGCAAGATGAGGACACTTAACAGCATCACTTTACCACTCTTCAGACACTAACAATCACAGTCTGTTTGACAGCACACACACACACACACACGCACACACACAAACCCCTTCTAACTCCCTGTACACAACACAGTGTCATGTTATAACACTGAGTGGCTGCTGTTCCCTGTCTGACCAGCAGGTGTCACTGCTGAGTGGAGGCGCTCCTGAGTTGCAGTAATTGCCATAATAACAGACAAGGGCTCTTGTGTTACAACAGAGAGGTGTTAGTGACAGTAGGCATTGTTATGTTAGCCTCATGGGTAGTGGGGATACTTATGTTAGGTGGTAGGTGGTCTTTGTATTGGAATGTCAGGTTGTAATGTGGGGTGAGGTGGCAGTGTGTGTGTTGTTTTGTGTGTGTGTGAGTGTGTGTGTTTGTATGTGTTTGCATAGGGTTAGCCAACATTCCTATATTCATCACCATTCCTATTAGGTGTATTATTGTAAACAGCCCTAAATTGCTTGTAAAACACCCCTAAAGGCCTCTGCATACTAGGTTCGGTTTGCTCCTAGCAGAACTCTAGGCGAAGTGAACGTCCGTGCCTCGCATACTCCCTTAAAGACCTTTGTTTGAAAAATGAGAAAAACGAGGCAATAGTACTGTTTGTCCCTCTTGAGACTCCGCAGCCAGTATACACTTCCTCAAAATAGTCAGAAATAAAATAAGATAACACAAGAAATCTGTAATTACTTTTGAAGTATATGCCGAGGAGATCTTAGTCGCGCAATTTTACATCTAACTAAGATGTTTGGTGCAGTATTTCTCAAACATGTGCATGAAAACGAGTTGTCTATCGTTGAATGACAACAAACCCTTAATTGAAGAATCCCTACTGTTGACCAATCACTGACGAAGGGGCGTATAGTTCGGCTACCGAACTTCGGCTTGCCTCCGGAAAAAATGTTGTGTGCACGAACAGCCAAACAAAACCTAGCCGAAGACCAAAACGTTACAAAATGTTGTCATAATATATTCACAAACTGTTTCGGTTGGGAAGCATGCGGATGCCTTTAGGCATAACAACACAACCATGATCCTCTACCTAACACATCTACCATAGTAGAACCACTCCACATTTCTCACCTGCCTTCCAACAGGACTACCTTCCTTCACATTAAGCCCCCTAACTAACTAGCAAGCTATGTAAGGGCTGATGGATGGAGGTGTGAGAGAGAGTTTAGATATCATCATGTGCAGCATCATAAACCACTCAAAGAGGTGGTGAATACAACGCATAGATGTCTGTGACTGTGGGCATAGCAAATGGACCCCTCTCTCTCACTTTAACCTCTCTCCTTTCCTCTCCACAATAGTCATGTCAGTCATTTAAGATTTGTCACAGAGCTTTCCTCTCCTTCTCCTCGAAACAAACATTCCCTGCAATGGTCTGTGTTATTACCACAATTCCTTGTGTGCCAAGCCTCCGCTCCAAAGTGTTTGACATTGTGTGTGTGTATGTGTGTGTGTATGTGTGTGTGTATGTGTGTGTGTATGTGTGTGTGTATGTGTGTGTGTCTATCAGAGAGTCGTACGCGCCACCAGTCCCCAAAGTTCTGATAAATGACTTAATTTCCTGGTCCTTTGAAATGTGCCGCAGCTCCTAAATTAGATTTTGAGGAACACCACTGTGCTAAATTGTGTTTTTCCTTAAATTTGAGAAGCAATTTTCTCTTGTGAAAACCCTGATTGATAAGAAATTTTTTTCTCCTCCCCTGCTCTCCCCTCCGTCTCTACCATCCTCTCCTTCCCCTCTTTCCTCCTTTACTTAATTCTTCCGCCACAGCGCTCCCTCATTCTGGACAATGGATGCCTTTCATTGGAGGAGAGGAGGGCTTACCATTGGCCTTGCACCATGGTCTGAGACAGGAACCGCCTGTTCACCCACACACGCCAGGTCCCGTGAGCACGAGGGTGTGAGGGAGTGTATGTGTATGTGTGTGTGAGTGTTGGACAGAAAATAAACAAAAACTGCAAAGAATACAGCGAGAATATGGAAATACTTTTTTAAAAAAGTTGTTGGTGTGAGTGAAAGAGAAAGAGACAAATTGAGTGTATGTGTGAGAGAAAGATTATGACAGTTTGTGTGTAATGCAGTTTCAATCTGCGTGGTAGTGTTGCTGGGTCAGAGTCAGCACAGAGGATGGATTCACTATGAGGAGTTTACCAGGCGTGAGCGCTGACCTCACACATAAACACACAAATCAGGTCAGTATGTCCAATGTGAATGTGTGTGAGTGTGTTCTTAAACTTTATGGAGCTTAGTTACTTCAAAACACTATTTTGCAGTGCAAAGTTCTTAGGGAAACCATAGTTTTTTATCAACCTTCATCCAAGTTTTTGTCCTATGGACCTTGGGTATCTACAGTTTACCCATTAATAACCCTTCAGATATCTTAGGTCAAAATGGTGTGAGTGTGTATGTGCATGTCTGTGTGTGTCTCTGTAACCTCTTCAAGTCTGCTATCTGAGGTGTGAGACCTGCTGGTTTATGCAGCGGTGCATTCCTCTCCTGATAAGGGACTTGACCTCTGAACCCTGGTACAGTTCAAACACAGGTCACCGCCAGGCTGGCCCTGTCACTCTGAACAGACCGCAGCAGGAGTGGATTGATGGAGTGGATTTGGCCAGGACAATAACCCTGAGAGTCACATGTGAGCTGGTGTGTGTGTTTGTCCAGCGAGTACAATGAGGGCACACCTCAACAGGAGGCTACAGGAATCTGAGAGCAAAGACTTAAAAGGGCAACACTGCCTCTTCAGAGAGACTGGCAGCATTACCAAGGATTAACCCATAGTGTGTTAGAGAGTTCTGCTGTCAAACCCAACCAGTATGAGAACCAATGCCACTATAATAATAATAATCACAGCATTACATAACATACTAAAACCACATTACACCCCACATAACCTAAGCATTACATTGTCTCCAATACGTCCACATTATGTCATCCACAATCCTCACATTACGTCACGCACCATCACCATACCAGTGTCCCAGCACACTGGTGCCTTGCACACAGAGCCATTGACTGTAGAGGTTGTGAGTGGAGGGGTCACACCAAATCTACAACTCAAACTCACAAACTCAGGAAGGAAACTAAGAGCATTTTTTCCGTTAGCAACATGTTCCACCCCTGACATCATCCTAAGAAAAGAGACCCTTCTGTTCACTACACAAACACTGTTTATAAGAGTGCCATTACACAGGTAAAACATGCAGTACTACAATACCAGAAAGATAAATATCCACAAGCAACATGACTTCTATGTCCTTTACCTCTTTGAGTTTGTAGTCATCAGTGAGGTAAAGGGCAGAGGCTTGACAGATGACATCATCCATTCCAGCACAGTCCATGTTATCCAGTGCTTCCCTCATCTTTCCCTCCCTCCCTCTGTCTCTCTCACTCCCTCCCTCTCACTCCCCCTCTACCACACACCCAGCTAGTGGGTCAGTATGAGCTGGTTCACATGAAACCTGGCCTCACTCAGAACCAACGCTAACCCTGCCACACAGAGCTGAGAGAGGAGAAAACAGTTATCATAGTTATCCCTCTACCCATGCCTACCTCTCTCGCTCTCTCTCTCCTCTCCTCTCCTCTCTCTCTCTTTAGATCTACTCTCCTAACACAAAATACAAAAATCTCTAGAGAGAGGAGATCTCCTCTCCTCTCTCGCTTCTCTCGCGAGAATCTCTCTCTCTCGTCTTCTCTCTCTCTCGCTCTCTTCTCTCTCTCTCTCTCTCTCTCTATCTCTCTCTCTCTCTCTCTCTTCTCTATCTTCTCTTCTCTCTCTCTCTCTCTTCTCTCTATAGCTCTCTACCTCTCTCTCTCTCTCTCTCTCGATATCACCTCTTCTCAGGGCTTCCAGAGTATAATGGACAGTGGTAGAGCCCCTTTAGACCCTCCTTTCAATCCTCTGGGCAGGGCAGTCGGAGAGTGAGGGAGAGAGCGAGCAAGCGAGCAGAGAGGCAAGAGAGATGAGAGAGAGCGGGAAGGAGGAGATTGCGCTGAGGGAGACGCGGAGAGCAGAGGCAAAGGAGAGAGATGGGAGGGAGAGATCAGCGAGAGGAGCGAGAGGAGAGAGAGACGGCACACACTGGTGTTTTTTCCGCTCTCACACCCTAACGTGAGGACAGCTGCTGCTCCCGGGACAGTTTGGAAAGCGACACCTCAGTGTTTGTGTGAGTGAGTGAGTGAGTGAGTGAGTGAGTGATTGAGTGTGTGAGTGTGTGTGAGTGAGAGTTTGTGAGTGATTGACTGCATCCAGTGTTTGTTACTTCACACAGTCCTTGACTGTGCCCTCTTAAAAAGCTTCATAAGCTTCCAAACTCTATTGCTCCATGCATATAAACCTAGCATGTGTGTATGAGAGAGTAGGCCTACAGTACAGTATGTGTGTGACATGGAATGCATACAGTGTCAGCACTACATATTTGAGCATGTCAGTGTATGTTTTTGTGTCTGTGTGTATGACTGACAAGGAGACTGAGGACAGAGGGAGTTCTGTTCCCTCACAGTCAAGGTAAAAATAGAGAGTTGACCCTGATCCAAAACCACTGTCTGACCAACCCACTAAAATAAAGTCAGTAGAAGGAATACAATTACACATAAACATAAGAGAGCACACTAAAACCCCAGGTGTACAGCATCTGTGCAAGCTCAATAGAGTGTGTGCGTGTGTCAGGGTTGGGGTCAATTAAGGAAGTACACAGAACTTCCAATTCCAACTTCCTTCAATGCTTTTTAATGAGGCAAATGTGGAATTGGAATTTGGTTAACGTTCTGAATTGACTGGAATTGAACCTCACACACAAAGGAGGGAGCGTCCCTTGACTTCTTTCTTCGGCTTGGGAAAGCTGAAGAAAATGATTCCCCTCTCACATACAGACCTATCTCTCTCTCCCAGGTGCTGACTGACCTCCTTTAACCAATAAGTCACAGTGATGGGAGGATGTAGGGAGGGATAATAGTTATATCAAATAAAATGAATGTAGAGTTCCGGACCATGGATATATTTGGCAGGTAAAAAAAACATAAAACACCAGCTGAATTTCATTCTTCAATTTGTTACATTTTCAAATCTCATCTCTCCACAGCAGAGGAGGTTGGTGGCACCTTAATTGGGGAGGACGGGCACATGGTAATGGCTGGAGTGGAATAAGTGGAAAGATCAAACACATGGTTTCCAAAAAGCAGGAAAACTACTAAAACATGACATAGTGCCATAGTATGACAATAGAGAAGAGCAGAAGCTCTGAAGTTGACCCAAAAACGGTCATTCTGGGTTAATACTAGGGCTGTTGCGGTGACCGTATTATCGCCACACCGGCGGTCACGAGTCATGAAGGCAGTCAAATTCCACGTGACCGTTTAGTCACTGTAATTAGGCTTCTCCAAGCTCTGATGCTGCTGCTGGTCATTAGTAGCCTACCAAACTTGCTAACTGTCTGGTACTCAGCACTCTATTGTCCCTCTAATCACTCTGACATCAATGCAAATGTGTTCAAACATCTAATCAAACACTTAATGAGAGCCCATGAGCTCATGTTGCGCAACATTTCTATAGGCTATGCAATTGTTTTAGAAAACAGAGTGATGGCGGCTAATAAAAATAGGAGGATCCCATCAGCTTTCTATAGGCTAGGCCTACTATATTTATTTCTCTACTTTCCTAATATTAAGCACATTGCTTATATTTACATCAGGAGTATAGCCTAACTGGCAGGCATGAAAATAAACCACAGGGAAAAGCGTCCTCCATTTTCTATTTAAGTGCATAGATGACATGTATTTTTTCCCGCTGCCCCCGTTTCGATACAGGTGCATGATAATGGTCCATTCTAAATCAAAACAAATGTCACACATATTATTTAGTATATGTAAAGACAAGATTAAATCAAGAATAGTCTGATGGGTGACAATATTAGCCTATCACTTGTGAATTATATATTAACACTTGTGAATGATGCCCATCATAAGAAACAATGCCTTTTTTTCCCAACTTTTTCGAATCATAGTCGCACACCTCATGTAGCCTAGCCCATAGGCCTATATGTTTTAATGTTTGTATCACAACTAAAGTGGCCAAATACATTTTTAATTTTTAATAATGGATTTATTGTGAAGGTGTAGGCTATATTACACGGATTTATTAGACTTTTTTAAATGGCTTGTAGGCTATGTGTGGAAGCCAGGAGATGCTAAATGTGTTTATTTTAATTAACGGTCAATTACCGTGAGACTGACAGTTATTTGCTTGACAATCACCGGCTGACGAAATTTCGTGACTGCCACAGCCTTAGTTATTACACACATACTGTGAACGCAGACTTCCACATGGAGGGGATGTACAAACACAGTCAAACATACTCACACACACACACACACACACACACACACACCACACACACACACACACACACACACACACACACACACCACACACACACACACACACACACACACACACACACACACACACACACACACACACACACACACACACGTGATAAGGAAATGAAAGAAGGGGCACAAAGGACAGAGAAGGAAGAAAAGAGAGATGAGAAGAGAAAAGGAGGGAGGGAGGCTGAATATAAAGTGATTTTGATGGATATGAGTCACAATGTCTCATCTGCTGTACACACACACACACACACATACAAACACACACACACACACACACACACACACACACACACACACACACACACACACACACATAAAGGAAGAGTGACAATAAGGGATTCTAAATCGCAACATGAAACAGTTTGAATTCCCTTTGAAGAACTGTGTGATGTACGCCAGTGGAATAACGTATCAGCATGACAGCATGCATTATAACACACACACACGCACGCACACATGCAGACACACACAAATACACACTCAAACACACACACTTAAACAACAATCAAACATACACACGGAAGCAAAGTCATTTTGTGCATACAGGTACACAGATATGTGCACACACATACAAGCAAACAGAAACCCACATGAACACAAGGCTGGATGACAGGATATGGAGTGGGTCTGATTCAGTGCTGATCCCAGGGGATTATGGGTAAAGCAGAATGACTTATCTGGCTATCTCCTATATCTGCCTACACTGGGACCTTGACAATACAACACACACACTTATACACAATCTGAAACGCACAGTAACGTGCAGACAAACACACTCCCAGTACTGCAGAGGGTTGTATATTGGTAAACACTGACCCCTTCTGAACCCTCCACATCATGAACTGAGGACGCCCAGGCTCTGTGATCATTAGTGAGGCTGACTTCATACTAGAGGTGATATCACCTCATCGCTGACTCAGAGGGGGAGGGAGGTAGAGGGGAAGGGAGGAACAGGGAGGTAGAGGGGGAGGGAGGAACAGGGAGGTAGAGGGGGAGGGAGGAACAGGGAGGTAGAGGGGGAAGGAGGAACAGGGAGGTAGAGGGGGGAGGGAGGAACAGGGAGGTAGAGGGGAAGGGAGGGACAGGGGGAGGCAGGTAGAGGGGAGGAAGACGAAGGTTACACGGGGACGATCGTGACTAGAAAAGATAAACACACAGATTATACTCCCATTACGTCAGTCTCAGCTCAAGGTCAAAGCATTGTCTCACTCTCCTCCTGAAAAGCATAGACAGAACAGCAGAATGAATAGAAGAAGACATCAAAGAGCATAGAGACATCTACTGAATGGCTGACAACCCACAGAGAGACACAAGGCCAGGTCATCTTCTAAAAGTTACTATTTCTGCTGTTGACAATGACTCAATTGTGAGGTCAGCTGAGCTAGAAAGGAAGAGAGAGAGAAAGGAAGAGAGAGAGAGAGAGAGAGAGAGAGAGAGAGTGAAGGAGAAAGAGAAGTGCATTGTTCCAGTAGAATAGAGGGGACTGTGGGAGAGAAGGCTCCTGGCACCTCCAATAGGCCTGGTATCCGAGTTCACAGCCATAGAGGAGACAGGAAATGTGTGTGTGTGTGTGTGTGTGTGTGTGTGTATGAGACTTTATTGCCCCAAATTAGAATTCACATTTCTAAGTGAATTTAAAGTTTGACCACAACAAGAAAGACTTCAAGACTCTGATCTATTTTTATTTTGGGACGAGGGAGAAAAGAACACTGCTGTCATAGCAACCCAGTGCATTTCTCCATGGCAATGGCCCGTGTTCCAAACAAATTGGTGTGGAAAAGGGAGCAGGGGCCCAGTGGGAAGTCTGTTAACAAACATCCCCACACACACAAGGCTGTGTTGTCTCTTCTGTATGACTGTGTGAGACAGAGTAACAGAAGCGCTCCATTTCTAGTCTGAGGCACAGTATCTTCCCCATCATAGACTATCTACTATCTGTCAGTATAGTGAGATTCAGTAGTGGTATCTCATCATCATTACTAATTCAACAGCCATCAGCCCACACAGTGGAAAACACACCACAGATAACGTTTCATATGAGCAACTGCTCTACAGTCTACTATACGTAGCTCTTTTTTCTCTCACTAACACACACCCGGCACACACACACGTACACACCAGGCACACACCCTGCAGTCAGGACTGAGATGATCTGAATCGATCAAAGAGCTCTCTGATCCCACACACACAGCGCTGCTACCCAGGGAGCTGGCCCAGTAGATTGGGTAACTGGAGCTCCAGGGTCCTTGGCTCAGGTCATGAGGCCCAGGACGGCACACTGACGCTGGGGTGATACATCTCCCCATCAACCCTGCCCTGGAGCTACTGCTGGGAGAAATATGGTCTCACAGCTAGCCTGATCCACCCAGCTCACTGGGGCATTCACACACACACACACACACACACACACACACACACACACACACACACACACACACACACACACACACACACACACACACACACACAAACACACAAACACACAAACACACAAACACACAAACACACAAACACAAACACAGATCCAGAGATTAGCGCTAGCTGCTTCTGTTAGATAATTAAGGCCAAGGGAGTTATTATTATTATTGAGTATCCGTGTATGTGTGTATGTGTGTATGTGTGTGTATGTGTGTATGTGTGTGTGTGTGTGTGTGTGTATGTGTGTATGTGTGTATGTGTGTATGTGTGTATGTGTGTGTGAAGAAGGGAGTGGCATGGGGTATGTAGGCTGCAGATGAGGTATCTCCATTCCCCCATTATTGCCTTGACCTGACAAATATGTAATCAATGACACTCCGTGGGTCAAACAGTAACTTATTTGGTTACCTGCAGGTCAGTCTGTGACCCTATTGGCTAATGGTCCCTGACATTGTGAAGGAACTTCCTCCTCGTACAGTGAGATAAATCCAAAACAAAACCAGACAACAGCAGGGGAGCACAACAATCTCCCCAGACGAAAAACCACAGGACACATGCTGCTATCGCCCTCCTCCCCCTCTCCTAAACACAACTCAACAACAGCCAAAACAGAAGGAGATGAAAGTAAGGGAAGAAGAAAGGATGCCCCCTCCTCCCGTCCCCTCTGAGAACCACACCTTAGACACCACCATCACCACCAACAACACCAACCAAACAGAGACGGACACAAGAGAAGAGACAATCACTTCCTGTCCCCTCTGTCTCTACCCCGTCCCCTCTTCCTTCCTCTCCTCTGTCCTCTTCCCACTTTCTCTCATCTACCCTCACACGCCATCTCTCCTTTTCCCCCTCTCTACCCTCTCCTCCTCCCTCCCTCTCTTTCTCTCCAGTGTGTGTGTGTGTGTGTGTGATGGGGCTAGTGAGAGGGGCGCTGGCGGTTGCCTGGTAACCAGTCTAATTGAGGGGTCTCTAGAGAGTTAGTCTTATCATAGCTGGAGCCCCCTGTTCTGTTCCAGACACTGCCTTCTCTTTCTATTCTATCACTCATTCTCTCTCTTTCTCTCTAACAGTTCCTCTATCCCTCTCTCCCTCTTTCCATACATATATTTTTTATTTATTTATTTCACTTTAATTTAATCAGGGGAGCCGAATTGAGACCAGGGCTTCATTCTAAATGGTGCCCTGAGAACAAACAATTCACAAATCAACATGATAATCCAATAAAACAGCAAAGAAGAAACTACAAGATATAGCAGTTACAGATACACTACATTTCAACAACACAAATACATTATTACAATCAACCAAAACACTTGTAAACCTCAGTGAATTCATCCCTCATCAGCGTTCTAAACTGCCCTATTGGCACCATGGATTCAAGATGTAATGAGGTTTGTAAATTATTCCAAACATGGGGGGCATTAAAACTAAAGGCTGATTTTCCTAGGTTGGTAGAGACACGAGGGACCTCAAGAGTTAACCAACCCTGTGAGCGGGTTTGGTGCTTCGTATTTTTATACTTTAGCGGAGAAGTGAGATATGTTGGATGAAGCTTGTGCAGCAGAGAGGTCCAGCCAATCAAAATATGCAGTAATGAGTATTAAACCTGTCACCTGTGCGAAGCTCGATATGGTGCACTGCATCCAAGGGTTTTAGAGTAGTGGCTGCAGCATTCTGATAAATGTTGTCACCTGTACAACCTGCTTCCTGTTGTTGGATATACAGAATCTCTCCTTTCCATCCCTCCTTCTTTCTGTCTCACCATTAGTCCTCTTGATATACAGTATCTCTCCTTTCATTCCCTCCTTCTTTCTGTCTCACCATTAGTCCTCTTGATATACAGTCTCTCTCCTTTCATTCCCTCCTTCTTTCTGTCTCACCATTAGTCCTTCTTGATATACAGTATCTCTCCTTTCATCCCCTCCTTCTTTCTGTCTCACCATTAGTCCTCTTGATATATAGTACCTCTCTTTCTCTCTTGATCAGTCTCTCTCTCTCTATTTCTGCTCTGTATCTCTCTTTATCTCTTTATTTCTGTTTGTATAGTTTTTTAACTGTGTGCCACTCTCATCTCTCTCTCTCTGCCTATTCCTCTTCTTCTGTTTCTTTTTCATATTTTTCTTTCATCTGTTTTTACTCTGCAGTCCCTCTGGCTTCTCTTGTCTGTTCCCCCTCGGTTCCCCCTCTTCTCCCCTCCATTTCTTAATCTATCTTTTATCTCCAAATAAACATGGCATACTTACTGAGGAAATCCTTATCCCATTATACAACACACACACACACGCATGCACACACTGCTGTGATGTGCGCCACATGGGGGATTAACAACGCATAACTGTTCACTGCTCTGAGGATAGAACCCCCATAATCACTGATCTGGAATCAGCTTACACTTCCTCTATCCTTATCCCAAACATTAGAAGGTAGCAGACTAAACTGACTGTGGATCAGCTCTTAGCTCAGTGTGTAACGTCATGTAATGATCAATTGAGCAGATCAGTGCAGCTGTGGAGATGCCTTCACTGGCCAGTATGGTTTCTTACAGTACCAGGGACAGTCAGAGGAGAGGCCCACACACACAGCTCTACTCCTCCCTCTCTTCCTCCTCCCTCTCTTCCTCCTCCCTCTCTACTCCTCCCTCTCTTCCTCCACCCTCTCTTCCTCCTCCCTCTCTACTCCTCCCTCTCTTCCTCCACCCTCTCTTCCTCCACCCTCTCTTCCTCCACCCTCTCTACTCCTTCCTCTCTTCCTCCTCCCTCTCTTCCTCTTCACTCTCTACTCCTCCCTCTCTACTCCTCCCTCTCTTCCTCCTCCCTCTCTACTCCTCCCTCTCTTCCTCCTCCCTCTCTTCCTCCACCCTCTCTTCCTCCACCCTCTCTACTCCTTCCTCTCCTTCTATTCCTCCTTCTCCACCTCCTTCTCTGAATACCTTTCTCTTCTCAAACTATCTTGTTCTTAACCACCACCTCATTCCTTTCTCCACCTCCTCTATTCTCCCTCCCTCACGTTTTCCTCTTTGTCAAATCCTCCTCTTCCTCCCTTTTTCCTCTCCATTCATCCAAGACCCACCTCCTTCTCCCCCTCTACTCCTCCTGTTTCACCTCCTTCATTGCTGCACTCCTCTCCACTCCTCCATCGTCTCCATTATATTTTTCCATCTACGTACCATCTTCCTCCTCCTCCTCTCCCTGCATTACAGGCATGTTGTCTTTATTCTCGGTATGAGGAAGGTAAAGCTCTGATGTACTGCACTACTTTAACACTGCACTCATCTAATCATTCCTCCCATTCCTCATTAAGTAAAGTGGGACACTTCTGTCGCAGTCTGGAGATGCCATTTCCAATCCACCCACCCACGCACTCTCTCACGTCACACACACTTTTACATTTACTGGCTGTTTTGCACTACAGTGTGCAATAAACACATTACATCTCAAGCATATACTCAATAAAACACATGACAATAAACTTAAACACTTAAATATGTTATGCACACACACACACACACACACACACTGTCTTGCGCAGCTAAACTTGTGGGGACATACAATTCAGTCCCATTCAAAATCCTATTTTCACTAACCCCTAACACTAAACCTAACCCGTACCCTTACCCTAACCCTAACCTTAACCCAAAAACCTAACATTAACCCTGGTCACCACAAGTATAGTTTAACACGTCCACACACACACACACACACACACACACACACACACACACACACACACACACACACACACACACACACACACACACACACACACACACACACACACACACACACCACACACACACACACACACACACACACACACACACACACACACACACACACACACACACACACACACACACACACACACACACACACACACACACACACACACACACACACACACACACACACACACACACACAGATACAGACAAAAAGAGATAGAGAGACAGAAACACCTCGCCCTTCCCAGACATCTATTGATCAGGCTGAGCCCAGGGGAGAGGGGAGGAGGAGGGACATTACTCCCTGAAGTCAAATGTGTGCTTAGCAACTGCCCTAGTCATTCGATTCCAAGACCCATCCCATAATACAAACACCAACCCCCACTGGGATGTGCCTGACAGCCATGACACACAAACCCCTGCAAGATACGACAACCACTAATGACAGTCAGTCAGTATTACATGATGGAAACCTTTGGGACCACACACACACACATACCAGTCCTACTGCAGTATCGTCTCCCCTGGAGGGGCAAGCTCAACCCCAGAGCAGCGAAGCCCTGACCTGCCTGCCTGCTCCACAACCGCTAACAACACATCCTCTACTGTACTAACAGCTCTCTGTCTAGCCTCAGCACTAGTCCCAGCTAGCCTCAGCACTAGTCCCAGCTAGCCTCAGCACTAGTCCCAGCCAGCCTCAGCACTAGTCCCAGCTAGCCTCAGCACTAGTCCCAGCTAGCCTCAGCACTAGTCCCAGCTAGCCTCAGCACTAGTCCCAGCTAGCCTCAGCACTAGTCCCAGCCAGCCTCAGCACTAGTCCCAGCCAGCCTCAGCACTAGTCCCAGCTAGCCTCAGCACTAGTCCCAGCTAGCCTCAGCACTAGTCCCAGCTAGCCTCAGCACTAGTCCCAGCCAGCCTCAGCACTAGCCCCAGCTAGCCTCAGCACTAGCCCCATCTAGCCTTAGTCAGTGTCCTGTCTTACCTGGTGAGAACAGTTTTCCTGGTGAACCATCCTTCACAGCATCCTAGACAGGTGCAGGCTGGCTGCGCCTCGGGAATGACAACGGGAATGGGATTGGGAGAGGATTCCAAAAGCTGCTGCGGTTTTCCGGCTGAGACACAGGGGGAGGAGAGGGGGGAGAGATCCAGCCCCAATCCGGAAAGAGAGACCAGAGAGAAAGATAGACTGACTGTATGTCTGTGTTCTGGTCTCACTCTCTACTGATCCTGCTGCTACTGATAAGGCTGCTCTTCTCCTCTGTAGTGTCCTCTCTCTTTTTCTCTCTGTCGCTCTGTCTGTCTGAGAGAAGGGTAAGGTCTGATCACTTCTTTTCCAAAAGAGAGGGAGGGGGAGAACTAAAAAAAGGGAGGGGAGTGAGAAAGAGGAGGAGAAACAGAAAGGGAGAGTGAATTCGTGGCTGTCTCTCTCCCTGCCGGAACAGGGAAGGGGCAGACTGACTCAGCACAGACACAGTCAGCCAATGGCGTGATAGAACAGGGTGGGGGGAGACAGGGGGGCGGGGGGAGGGATCAGAGGGGGAGGTGACCTTCCACTAGTCTACAGAGCTAGAGCACCGAGGTGGAAACGTCCCACAGAGAGAGAGAGAAAAAGGGGGAGGAGGGGAAGAAAGAAAAAGGAAGGGGGAAGAAGAAGGGTGAGAGAGGGGAGGAAGAGAAGTGACTCCCATACCAAAAACCCTTTCATCTCAATCCCTAAATCTTCTCTGAGTGCTATGACACTATCTTAATGGTTGCAATTTGAAGATGACTATCTCAACTATAAGCAGTCCTTTTGGTGAGATATGGATATTTTCCATACTCTGCTGAGTAATCCACTTCCTATACTTTTATCTATGACCTAATTATTAGTATTTGGGGAGTATAAAAAGTCTACAGGGCGCCTTTAAAAACGAAAAACTGTTTGAATGTATGACTAATGCCAAGCAGCACATCATATTCATATTAATAGGTT